AAGAGATCCTAACAAAAACACTCCAAGACATAACATAGTTAGAATGATGGATACCACGGATAGAGACACAATACTGCAAGCAGTAAGGTCAAAGAAGGAAATCACATACTAAGGAGCACCCCTTTGATTCACAGCAGACCTACCAGAGGAAATCCTCCAAGCCCGAAGGCAATGGTGGGATATAGTGAAATAACTCACTGAAATGAATGCTTCACCAAGAACACTCTATCCGGCTAAACTCTCACTCAAAATCGAAGGAATGGTACACGATTTTCTGGATAAACAAAAGCTCAGGATTTTCATAGACTCAAAACCAAATCTAAAAGAAGGGCTAGAGCGACTAGTGTAAGACAAGAAGAACCCTTACAAGAACAAAAAACCCTTACAGAAAGATGACACAAAACCCGATAATAATAATCTCTCTCAATGTCAATGGTCTAAATGCACCAATCAAGAGACACAGAATGGCAAAATGGATTCAGAAACAGAACCCAACATTCTGCTGCCTATAAGAAACACACCTGAACAGTCAGAACAAACACAGACTAAAAGTCAAAAGATGGAAAACAATCCTGCAAGCAAACCACCCCCTCAAAAGAGCTGGGATGGCCTTACTAGTATTGGACAACATAAATTTCAGGTTGAAAAAGATTAGAAGGGACAGCAAAGGCCATTTTTTTTAATTAATCAGGGGATATGTACAGAAGGAAGAAATCACACTCCTAAACGTATACGCACCCAATGAGGGACCAGTCAAATACCTACAACAACTGCTAATAGACCTTAAGAAGAACATTGCACGCAAAAAAATTGTAGTTGGAGACTTCCACTCCGCCTAATCATCTCTGGATAGATCAGGAAGATTAAAACTCAGCAAGGAAGTAATGGCTCTGAAGGAAGTAATAGAAGAGAGAGGGTTAATAGATTTATACAGGACTTTATATCCCCCCCCCCCCAAAAGAATACACATTCTTTTCCAGTGCACATGGAACATTTTCCAGAATAGATCATGTGTGCTGGGCCACAAAGCATATCTCAACAGATTCAGGAAGATAGACATTGTATCAACTATCTTCTCAGACCACAATGCAATGAAGATAGCAGTTAATTATGTACAGACACAGAAAAACAAATCAAACACCTAGAAATTAAACAGCTCAATGTTGAACAAGTGGGTCAGGAAAGAAATCAAGGAAGAAATCAAAAGATACCTAGAAATAAATGAGAATGAAGACACGAGCTACCAGAACCTGTGAGATGCAGCTAAAGTCATGTCAAGGGGAAAATTTATAGCTCTGCAAGCATTTCTCAGGAAGGAAGGGCCTACATAAATGACTTGACTTCATAGCTCAAGATATTAGAAAAGGACCAACAAAAGGAGCCCAAACCAGGCAGAAGGAAAGAGATCATAAAACTTAGAGAAGAAATCAACGACATGGAAACCCAAAAAATAATCTAAAAGATCAATGAAACCAAGAGTTGATTCTTCAAAAAAATAAACAAAATTGATAAATCACTAGCAAAACTCACAAAGAAAGAGAGAGTGAGAACCAGGCCGATATCCCTGATGAATACTGATGCAAAGATTCTCAACAATATACTATCAAATAGTATTCAACAACTCATCAAAAAGATCATACAACACGACCAAGTGGGATACATCCCAGGGATGCAAGAATGGTTTAATGTCCAGAAATCAATCAACATAATCCATCAAATCAACAAAAGAAAAGACAAAAACCATATGATCATATCAATAGATACAGATAAAGTATTTGACAAGATCCAGCACCTTTTATGATGAAAACTCCCGCCAAAATGGGTATAGAAGGGATTTTCTTCAATATAGTTAAAGCCATCTACCACAAGCCTATGGCAAGCATTATCCTCAATGGGGAAAAACTAAAAACCTTCCCTCTAAGATCAGGGACGAGACAAAAATGCCCACTCTCTCCACTGCTGCTCAATATAGTACTGGAAGTACTTGCAATAGCAGTTAGGCAAGAAAAAGATATTAAGGGCATTCAAGTAGGAAAGGAAGAAATCAAACTCTCACTATTTGCAGATGATATGATACTATACTTAGAGAACCCTAAAACCTCACCAAGAAACTCCTAGAAACAGTAGACTTGTATAGTAAAGTTGCAGGCTATAAAATCAATACCCCAAAGCTTTCCTATACACAAATAATGAGAGAGAATAAAATGATGAAAAAAAAGTAAACCCTGTTCACATTTGTGCCTCTGAAAATCAAGTACCTAGGAATCAGCTTAACTACCAACGTAAAAGAGATGTACAAAGAAAACTACAAAATGCTACTTCAGGAAATGAAAGAGGACATGAGGAAATGGAAAGATATCCCCTGCTCATGGATCAGGAGAATTAACATTGTCAAAATGGCAATATTCCCCTAAGCATTATACAAATTCAATGTGATCCCTATAAGGATATCCATGACATTCTTCAAAAAAATGGAGTAAACACTCTTGAAATTCATATGGAACAATAAGCCCCACGAATAGCTAAAGCAATTCTTAGGAAAAAGAAAATGGGAGGAATCAACCTCTCTAATCTCAAACTCTACTACAAAGCAGTAGTAAGTAAAACATCATGGTACTGGAACAAAGACAGAATCGCAGACCAATGAAACAGGGTTGAATATACTGACATCCCCTCCCCCCTAATATATGATCAGCTAATCTTTGACAAGGGAGCATGAAATGTGAAGTGGAGCAAAAAAATCCTCTTTAACAAATTGTGCTGGCAAAACTGGACAGCTACATGCAAAAAATGGGCTCAGATCTCTACCTAACACCATATACAAAAGTAAGATCAAAATGATTAAAGACCTAAACATCAGACCGGAATCCTCAAAAGAAATAGTGACCAAAATACAAAGACAGTGTACAGAATGGGAAAGAATATTCACCCAATACCCATTCAATAAGGGGATGGTTGATATCAAGGATATATAAAGCACTAGTTGAACTCCAAAAGATTAAAACATCCAAACCCATCAAAAAATGGGGTGACCAATTGAACAGAGACTTTCTCAAAGAAGAAATCCGAATGGCTAAAAGGCATATGACAAAATGCTCTACATCACTAATCATTAGGGAGATGCAGATCAAAACAACAATGAGGTATCATCTCACACCACAGAGACTGGTCCACATCCAAAAGAACAAAAACAACTGGTATTGGCACAGATGTGACGAGAAAGGGACACTTCTTCATTGCTAGTGGGAATGCCAACTGGTTCAGCCCTTTTGAAAAACAGTATGGATGATTCTCAAAAAATTAGAAATTAGCTCCCATTTGACCCAGCAATACCACTTCTGGGAATATTTCCCGGAGAGGCAAAAAAGTACAGCTGAAATGACATCTGCACTTTTATGTTCATTGCTGCACTGTACACAACAGCCAAAATTTGGAAAAAACCCGAGTGCTCAAGAACAGATGACTGGTTAAAGAAAGTTTGGTACATCTACACATTGGAATATTATGCAATTGTTGGAAAAGATGAAGTCATGAAATTTACATACAAGTGGTTCTACATAGAAAATATCATGCTAAGTGAAATGAGCCAGAAAGAGAGGGACAGACATAGAAATACTGCACTCATCTGGGAAATATAAAGTAACAGAATGGGAGTCAAACACCGAAGAATAGTTGAGATAAGTACCAGGAGGTCTGCTCCACAGCTTGGAAGCTGGCAGCACATGCTGGGGGAAAAGGCAGCTCAGATAGAGAAGGGACATCAACTAAAGGATGTTTGGAGGATTCACTCGGCATGCGAGGTGTGTGCTGAAAGTAGACTATACACCGAACATGATGGCCACTCAATACCTCTATTGCAAACCACAACACTCTAAAGGAAAGAGAGAGCAAAATTGAATGTCCTGCCACAGAGGTAGGCCGGGGTTGGGGAGAAATCAGGTGGTGGTGGGGGGGGGGGGGTGGCAGGGCTACTGGCATCATTGGTGGCAGAGAATGGGCACTGGTGGAGGAATGGGTACTTGATCACTGTATAACTGAAACCCAAGCATGAAAGTTTGAAAGTCTACAACTGTACCTCATGGTGTTTCACTAACAAAACAAAACAAAAAGAATAAAATTAAGAATCAAACAACAACAACAAAAAACATGCAAGGTTTTAGATATAGACAAGCTCAGGTCAGACTGCTTAGGGTACCACTGTGGCACTGTCCTCCTGTTGTTCATCGATTTGCTTGAGCGGGCACCAGTAATGTCTCACAACAAATTGTGAGACTTGTTACTGTTTTTGGCATATTGAACACAACACGGGTAGCTTGCCAGGACCTCTCGTGTGAGTGAGATGCTCTTGGTAGCTTCCAGGGCTCTCTGAGAGGGGTGGAGGAATCGAATCCGACAGAGCTACCACATAGGGTCACAGTCACAGTCCTCCCATTATTCATCAATTTGCTCAAGCAGGTCCAGTAACATCTCCATTGTGAGACTTATTGTTACTGTGTTTGGCATATTGAATACGTCACGGGTAGCTTGCCAGGCTTTGCTGTGTGGGCGAGATACTCTTGGTAGTTTGCCGGGCTCTCCGAGAGGGGCAGAAGAATCAAACCTGGCTCCGGCGGGCCGGCTGCGCGCAAGGCAAACACCCTACTGCTGTGCTATGGTTCCATCCCATTTAAGCAAAAATATAAAAACATAAATATCTCCACGGCAAGCACCCTTATTTTCTTTCTTACTTTCTTGTTTCAGTACTTAGCTATTCTTTTTAATTATAATTGAAGCATAACATCAGTTTCAATATATTACAATAAGGATTTTATATTTGTATCTACTCAGAAATAATCACAATAAATTGAGTTAACACCTATCACCATATATAGTTACAATTTTTCTTGCAAAAAAATCTTAAGATATAGTCAATCTACTGTTGCAAATAGTATTTTTCCTAAGAAACATGCTTTATATTTAAAAATGTGAGTTCATCAACTGGTTGAGACCAAGACACTTACTTTACAGTGGCACTTAGAAGAAAGTTCAACTGTGGCATTAACAGGTTGTCTGGGGCAGATAAATAACGATCAAACTGAACCTAAATGAAACAGAAATTCAAAACAAGTGCAAGCAAACATTTCAACAACTCATTTAAATGTCAAATCTTAGGGAAAATCCTATATTCCAAGCAACAAGTTTTTGGTATTCAAAATCAGTTCTCTCCCCCACCATTTTGGCCTTTTTGGGTCATGCCTAGCGATGCTCAGGGGTTACTCCTGGCTCAGCTCTGCAATTAGGTATTACTCTTGGCAGTGCTCAGGGGAGCAAATGGGATGCTGGGGACCGAACTTGGGTCAGCTGTATGCAAGGCAAAAGCCCAACCCATTGTACTATCACTCCAGCCTAAGTTCTTTCTTAAATATTCTAATTAAAATTTCTAACGTGTTAATTTTAAAAAATGTTTTACTTGGGTACTGTGATTTATAATACTGTTAATGATAGGGTTTCATGCATACAATGTTCCAACATACATACACATTCTCCACCAAAATGTACCCTCAGCCACAACACAGACACACACAAACACACACACACACACACACAATCCAACAAAAGTGTTGACTTTTAATAGTTCATCGATTTGCTCGAGCAGGCCCGGTAACATCTCCACTGGAGACTTTGTTGTTACTGTGTTTGGCTTTTAATAGTAATTATTAACAAAATTTTCTGTTAAAATTCTGAATCTGGGGGCTAGAGTGATATTATAGTAGCTAGGGCACTTGCCTCTCTTGGGGCCAATCTGGGTTCAATCCCTGGCATCCCATATGGTACCCTGAGAACTGTGAGGAGGGTTCCTGAGTGCAGAGCCAGGAGTCACCCCAAGCATCACCAGGTGTGGTCCCAAAACCAAAAATAAATTTAAAAAATTATCTTTTATTTTGCATGCAAAAAATTTGCATCTAGGACCAGAGAAATAGCAAAAAGGACTGAGAGAACCCTTGCATGCAGGAAGCTAGGATTTGATCCCAGGCACAAACTAAATGATCCCCCCCAAGGACCACAAAGGCAATTCTTGAGCATGTGTTGGGAATAAGTGGCCCCTGAGCACCAATAAGAATGACCATAAACAAAAATAAATAATTAAGATAAAATTGTGAATCCAAGCCATTCCATTTAATTTCCCTCTAATTTTAAGAAGTTATCAGATTTCAAGTCTACCTTGCTTGATTAAATTGACTATATTTGTTAATTATTCATTCATATATTCATTCCATTAATATTTACTGAGTACCTACTACTAGAACAGTCAGATTAGAATCACGGTCACGGTCATGGTCCTCCCGTTTTTCATCGATTTGCTCAAGCGGGCCAGTAACGTCTCCATCATGAGACTTGTTGTTACTGTGTTGGGCATATCGAATACGTCACGGGTAGCTTGCCAGGCTTTGCCGTGCGAGTGAGATAGACTCGGCAGCTTGCTGGGCTCTCCGAGAGGGGCAGAGGAATATGTAAACATAATGGATACAGAAAAGTAGAAATGTTAACTTTACATTATCTATGGCTTATCAGAAAGACAGTAAAATAATATAAATAAATGTGCAATTACCAAGTATAAGATGCAATAAAGGAGAAAAAAGTCAAGGTATTGCAGAAATACAAATCAGAGAGGTGGACCCACTCTGTATTCGATTCAGGTATTTCAGGGGAAAGGACATACACAGTAAAAATTTGTTTTTTTATTATTAAATTGATTTTTTAAAATTTATTTTTACGAGGTAAAATTTTAAAGTCATTAATAAGAGTACATAGCTAGACTTTTGGAATAGGAAACATCAAGGACAAAAGCATGAATAAAATAAGGACAAAGAGATAAATTCATGTAGGATTTATACAGTTTTGCTTTTTGGCCTATTGGTTTTGGGGCCATATCTGGCAGTGCTCAGTGATCATTTCTGGTGGTACTCAGGAGACCATATTTAGCACTGGTGATGGAACTAGGGTTGTCCACTTACCAAGCAAGCAACTTTTTTTTTTGCTTTAGTTTGTTTAAAATCTTTTTCTTTCTTTTTATTAAATCACCTTGAGATATACAGTCACAAAGTTGTTCATGATTGGGTTTCAGTCATACAATGTTCCTGAAGCCCTTTTAAAGTTCATCCAAGCATTTAAACCCTTAGCACTGGTTGCATAGTTAAGAACTTAAATACTGGGTTGAATAGAATTACTATAAAAATTAAATAATTCAGAAAATGTACATGGTGTGCTCAATAAACATCAATGGTTGTTGCTGTGACATTGAGGCCATGACTCTGATGAGTAGTGTTTAGACAGTTTATCGAGCTGATCATTTCCATCAGTATAAGGGCTAAGTCACTGAGGAGCCACTTACTTGAGATATGCATATATGTACAATATAACAGACATGAAACACATTACAAAAAGGGAAGCCTATAAAGAAAAGAATGTGCAAGCTCTTCATTGAAAAAGAGCAATAAAGAAAGATTTATACTCAAGAATAATATATTTTAAGACTGGAGTCCAATTTTAATTACTATTTCAGGAGAAGCAAAGAACTACATGTCAAGGATTATGAAAGTAGGATGTCTGTAATGACATAAAGCTGATTTTACATACAAATATCTTTCATTTCTGTTCTACTATGAATTTGGGAGTAAAGTTTGAAAATAAAGAGAATCTGAATAGAAGTGATACGAGACAACTAGAAACTGATGAGTTATTACTACAGATTTATTTCTAAGGCAGACCTTATTTAAAAGAATATTTATGGAATCATTATTACTAGATCCAATGAATTCAGCACATTGACGACAACAACAACAACGTCTACTCAAGACAAAATTATCACACCAGAGAAATTAACAACAGTGTCCCATGAGAAAACTTATGTTGAACTGTTGATCATGTACTCACCATAGCAGCCTTCAGTGCTACAGAATCTAGGTTCGGCAAATTAGCTAGAGAGCCCTAAACACAAACACACATACAACACAAGCCAAAAAATAAAAAAGAGAGAGAGAGAGAGAGAGATGTAAAAAAGGTGATACATATTTCACATCACTGACAGTCTATTATCAAGTGGCCCCAATTTGAAAATTTAACTTATTTACAAAGGACTCAAGTGTCATCTCTTCAATTTTAATAAAAGCAGGAACTATGATTTGTTCATTTCTTTTATACCTTGCATAAAGGCACTTAATATTTATTGAGGGGAATGAGAAACACGTATATTTATTAACAAAAGAAACCTCGGGGTACTTCAGATTTACTCATATGCAAGAAAAAAGGTACTGAAGCAATCAGAAAACGCCAGTGAGACAGAGCGGCTTTCAAGCTACAGTCTGATAATTGCAGCTAGTACGAAAAGGCAGAATTGGTTCCTAATGGCAGGAATTTGCTTACTACTTTAGCAAAAAAAAAAAAAAAAAAAAAACAGAACTTGAAATTTGACAGCTTCATTTTAGAGTGCCTGGGCTTTAAAATACTCTTAAACGTTCATGTATTTCAGAAGAGTTCATTGCTTTCTTAAGAAGAATATTTACACATTTCTCTGGAGTGTCTATACTACATTATCTATTGCTACTAGATTTCAATAACTTAAGACCCTTAGCTGGCCCTGAAGTATCTATCTTTCTCTATGTAACAGACCATAACTTGCTAAATTACAAAAGGGACAGCTGTTATTTTGATAATAATCTATGCATCAATTTAAATAACAGTAATAGGAATGAAAATTTTACCAATCATCTTCTTATAAATTTTAAAACATGAATGCTTATGGATTTCCATTACTTTTAACCAAAGATATCTGTAGTAAAAAGGAGCATTTTGGGATACCATAGTGTATCTCAACGGTCATGGTCACGGTCCTCCCGTTGTTCATTGATTTGCTCGAGTGGGCCCAGTAACGTCTCCATTGGAGACTTTGTTGTTACTGTGTTTGGCATATCGAATACATCACGGGGAGCTTCCAGGCTCTGCCTTGCGGGCAAAATACTCTCGGTAGCTTGCCAGGCTCTCCAAGAGGGGTGGAGGAATCGAACTCGGGTCGGCCATGTTGGCTGCGTGCAAGGCAAACGCCCTACTGCTGTGCTATCGCTCCAGTGGTAGTGTATCTCAGAAAACTATAAAATGACACATACATTACCCCACTGTATCATCATAAAAGCTGTATGTTAGTTATTATTATTATATTATGACCAGTTACTATTATTACTAGATTTATTATATAATTGATAACATTATCACCCCCAAGTCTAGAGATGAAGAAACAGAGAGATAAGTTTCCCCAGCAAATTAAGCTGGGAAAAGATCCAAATCTTTTCAGTTTGGTGGCAGAGCCAAGATTCGAATCCAGAGTTTAGCTCTGGACGGGGCCCATAATTTCAAGTGGTGAATTTCTCTTGTGAGTAACGTCCGGTGCTTACCTGTTCGGGCTTATGCTGCTGCACAGTGTTATAGATATAACTTAAGCCTGCTCTAGTTAAAACATAAGAAGCTTGCTCATTTATTAGGGTGTCCAAATGTGCTTCAATCTGAAACAAAACACAATAGGAAGAAAGTATTTTAAAAGAAGAATGGAACATAGATCAAAATTATGTCAGACTGATTTATGCAGAAACAAACATTCTTTTCCCCCATAAGCTAATTTTCAGCACCAAAACACCTACAATGTTGACAAGACCTTGTCTGCTGAGCAATTCCAGTCTCCAGGGAAACCAAATGTACCTGTCAGCTGAACCAGAAGCCTAGGATTGCTTCACTGAACTCCATCTGATACAAGTCGCCCCCATGACAAGGAAGATTTGGTTAACTCACTTTAAATGGACTAATTCAGAAATCTGCCAGTCAGTATTCTTCAAGCTTACCTCTTTCCATTTTTGCCTTTACCCTCAAACACTAGCCATCATTTGTATCACTTGTCATCCCGTTGATCTTCAATTTGCTCAAGCAGGCGCCAGTAACATCTCCATTTGTCCCTGTCGCGTGCTAGTGTAGCCCAGTGGCATCTGCTCGCTCCAGGAATGTGAAGAGCCTCAAACCGTTTGTTCAGGGTTTTGACAAAGAAGTCTGACCATCTTGTAGGTGGGCGGCTCCGTGTCCTTTTGACATCCCGTGGAATCCAGTCGGCAACAGCTCTAGTCCAGCGATCGTCTCTAAATCGCAATACGTGTCCAGCCCATCTGATTTTCAATGCCTTGGCAAACGAGACAGCGTCCCTGATTCTCAATCGTTGATGGAGGTTGGAACTCTGGATTCCTTCTCTCATTTGAGTGAAATGTGATAGTCCAAGCATAGCTCTTTCAATTCCTCTTTGGGATACCCGAATAGCATTCTTGTCCTGTTTGAGTAAGGCCCAGGTCTCTGAGGCGTATGTTAGTGCCGGAAGAACAGTGGAGTCAAAAACATGTGCCCGGAGCTGGAGGTTCTTCATCCTCTTAACAACTTCTTTGATGCTCTTGAAGGCATTCCACGCCGCTCTCTTCCTCCTGCGCAGTTCCAGTGCCAAGTCGTTCCGTATGTTGAGTTCTCAACCCAGGTACACATAGCTATTGCATTCAAAGATGTTCGTTCCATTGAGAGAAAATGGAACGTCAGGGACTAGTTCGTTTTTCATGAACACTGTTTTGGTGAGATTCAGCTGCAGTCCAACCTTTCCACACTCATGGTCAAAGTCTCAAACACTAACCATATCCCCTCAAAAACTTTATCCACATCACCCTTTTCTCCCATATATCCATATATGCCTTAGTGTCTTATCCAATATGGAACTCCTAGCCTCAAGATCAAAGGGGGGCTGGAGCAATAGCACAGCGGGTATGGCATAGGGTGTTTGCCTTGTACGGGGCCGATCTGGGTTCCATTCCCAGCATCCCATATGGTCCCCTGAGCACCGCCAGGGGTAATTCCACCTGAGTGCAGAGCCAGGAGTAACCCCTGTGCATTGCCAGGTGTGACCCAAAAAGAAAAAAAAAAGATCAAAGAGGGAGATTTGAGTTTGGCCTCTTTCTCTTGGCAGCTGTAAAGCTTCCTTTACTGAAAACCAAGGGTTAGAATGACAGTACAGTGAGTAGGGCATTTGCCTTGCACACGGCCAACCTGGGTTTGATTTACAGCACCCTATAAAGTCTCCTGAGCTCACCAGGAGTGATCCCTGAGCTCAGAGCCAGAAGCAAGCCCTGGCCACTGCTGGGTGTGGCCAGTTCCACATACTGTCTTCTGTGACCGCTGGGCAGTGACTGATCCTTGTTCAGTAGCCATGGAGTGATGAGGGTCAAAGGAGACTCCCCCAGAGTCTTAGTTCTTCTTAATGGGCTTATTCTTTGCAGTGATTATAAAGCAAGGGACTGGTTCTATGACAAATACCTTGCCCCCAGAGAAAAGGTCTCCTATATAAGGAATAGAAAGTCTTAGTTTTAAAAATGATGCCTTAAGTGAGAGACAGCGTGGCTGTCAGGGAATATGCCTGGTCTGCTCCTGACCCTGTTCACTTCCTGGTATCATATGGTCTCTGAGAACTGTCAGAAGTGCAGCATCCCCAGACCCCTGCATTACACTCTTAGTCCACTGGGCCAAAAATTGTTGGTGAGGTTCTATGACATCCTAAGCACCACTTTGTAGGAGTATACCCTCCCCCCCGAAAAAAAAACACCCGCATGATATCCAAAGAATATTCCAAGGATGACCTACTTATCACAAAATTTGAATTGCTTCTCATGTTCCTCTGCTTTTTTAAAACCAGTAATGAGCAAAACACAAACAAACAAACAAACAAGAAATCATTACTAAAACAATCTCAGTGTCAAAGAAAACACTTGAGAAGAATTCTGAGAAGGGCTTGTTTGATATTCATGATATTCTCACCCTGCCCCCATCCGGTTCAGCTTCCCAAGCGAATTAACACAACCAAATATATCATGCGGAAAGGCCTCAGAAAGAGTTAGCGCGCGGCAGCGAGATATGAAAAGCAGGTCTGTGACAACTCGGGGAGATGTGAGGCCACAACAGCAGGTTGTCAGAGATTGTAGGTTCAGGAATGAATTAAAGGAGACTGGACCAGCAGATGGGAGTCCTGTGCGCTGACTCTGTCAGCACTCTTGTGGGGAGAGAGGCAGCGACTCTAAGGGCGGAAGCAAGTCCAAGCATTCTCCAGTGAGGAAAGGCGACTTCGCTCTGACAGTTGGATGTCTTAGTGATGTATAGCTGGACAGTTCCTTAGGACTGGAGGTCTTCCATCTCTCCCTCCACTGGAGCTTCCCTCAGCTTCATCTCTTCGCTGTCTAATGCTACGCATGTTGCTCGGTGTCATCTGAATGCTTATCCATTGTTCAAGCAACTCCGAAAGCTGAGTCCCTTTGCCTTAAAACCTTACAATTGATTTAAAAGTTGAGTGCGTAAGTTCTAGGAGGAATCCATCTGAATAATGAGAAAACACAACTTATTTCTGAGCTAACACCACTGAAAGAAATAGGACTCTGACTTTTTTTTTTTAAATTAAGATGAATGTCTAAGAAAGTACAATATTAGATCCTTTCCTTGCTAGACTTAGTAGGCGGGAGAAAAGCAAGGTGTAAAAATGCAAATACTAATGAAAGCATTACTAAGAAACAAATTAGTATCCAATAGACAATGGAATAAAATAAATAAAGAACAAACATACATTAAAGGAGGAAGATAAAAGTGTTTTTAAAGAAGTAGACATTCAGGCGATAAAACCATCCAAGAACAGGGACTTCAGAATATAAAACACAACAGATGGGAAAGTGATAATTAAAGATAATAGAAAACCTTACTGAGTAAAAGGGAGCTTGAATCACCAGACTAAAATGGTTCTCTAAGAAACCTAAGCTGGAAATAATGGAAAGGAGACATATTGAAGACTCCCCTTAGGAAATCATTCAAGCCAGTGGAGAGGCTAAGAAGCTTCTAGTATGTGACCTGGCTAACACAAATAAAAGAGAATCAGATCCATCCCACTAACATGAACACTGCAAAAACTAGATTGGAGGGGAAAGGAAATCAAGAGAGTACAGATAGAAAAAGTCCGAAAATCAAATCTTTTACTACTCAAAGTCAACTGTTACTTTAGGGGGCCCAAATAAATTCTCTGTCCCAATAATCTTCTCTTAGAGTCTGGGCTGGTCCATGCGGCCAGCACTGACCATTAGCAAGCACAGCGCAAGGACAGGTTGAATATGCACAGATATGATGGGGCCCTGACCAGTGATGGTAAAACAGATAGAGCTGAACAAGTTGGGGAAAGATTTAGATTAGAGTTTCCCAAAGCAGGCAATGCCAAATCCCACAGTGGCATGATAAAATGACCCAAAAGGCCTGGAGTAGCGCTGAGTGCCAATTAGAAAGAACCTTCTTTTTGTTCACTTATAGAAGGTAGATTTCTAAGAAGATACTGTGTTTTGGTTTTATTTATTTATTTCTGAAAGTGTGTGTGTGTGGGGGGGGGGGCAACATAAATCAGGGAATCACAGGCATACAAATGAGAAAATTCAAAGTTGAATTTGTGATGAAAACAGTAAAAGCAATTATTTTAAAATAATTTTATTAACTTCACATAAGACAAAAGCAATAAGAAGAAGTGAAACTGATCACAAGGTATTAAATCTCTTCTTAAAAAAATTAGACATTAGGATGCATCACAAATCTAGATATTTCAGAACTCAGTCCTCAGAAAACCACAAAACATTTCAAATAAACTTTCACTAAGTCAAAGTAAATTGTTTATACACTTGTAATAACAAAATATTTGAAGGATTTTGTGGGGAGGGAGCGAGGCTGCTCATAGTGGTTATGGGCCACCCCTGGCGATGCTAAGTTCATCAGCATGGACAGCCCAATGCTACTTTCTGAGCAGGCTGCTAGGGAGAGGTTCTGGGATCCCCAGGCTATACACTTGGTGCTCCAGAGTCACAACGTGCCAGAGATGATTTGGGGCTTTGTGCATGACAGGCATGCACCCCTCACACTTCAGCTATCACCCTGCTTTTAACACCTCAAACATCCCTCCTCTAGATCAAAAGCCAACTATGTAAATTCTACAGTGGCTTTGTTGTAGCCATTCTAAAGACTCTAAAGTGATTATCAGTTGGTTATAGAAATGGAGTGCTTAGTATAATGAATTGTAATGTTTTGCCTAACACTGGTTTACACATAGATAAAAATATATCTGTCCTCTGTAACACCTTCTGCACTAGTTACACAGCTTGAAAAATATCGCATATTATTCACAGTTCAGAAACTGAAATCTGCATACAGAGTAACTGTTCAAATCAATCAGAAATGCTTCAACTCTGCCATCACATCTCTGGTTTGAATCAAATACATAATATACACTCATATACTCTGTGTGTGTGTGTGTGTGTGTGTGAGAGAGAGAGAGAGAGAGAGAGAGAGAGAGAGAGAAACAGAGAGACAGAGGGAGAGACAGAGAGACAGAGGGAGAGACAGAGAGACAGGGAGAGACAGAGAGACGGAGAGACAGAGAGACAGAGAGACAGAGAGAGAGAGAGAGAGAGGGGGAGAGAGAGAGAGAGAGAGAGAGCACTTCAATCACACCATAACAAGGAATTTTCAGAAGTTAGGTCAGGGGAATAAGGTTAAAGCCAGTAACTAGAACTCACAGTATATAGAAAAAGAGTTCATTTCAACTTGCAGCCATTTCATGTCAAAAGGTACCTGAAACTGAAGCATTTCCAGACGTCTGTCAGTGAATTCAAACAGAGCTAGTGTTGTCTTCATCATATAGAGTGAGTTGACCATGAATGTGGCCATGTCAGCAGTGCCTAAATTGCTGGCTGATACAGTACACATTTTGAGGAGAGGATCTAAGACACATGATAAAACCTATAAATGAAAAAAAATGCAATTTATTCACTTCCCAATAGCTGTAAAGAGTTAATGGCATATCCAAATGATGCCAAACTAACTGGAAAAGGGCCAACTTACGAAAGCACATAGGAAAAAGGTTAAATGGGTCTAATGATTATGGTCATTTTTAAAATGAACATCATCAAATACTTTCTAAACTAAAGGGTACAGGTTTACTATTTGAAGGGAACAAATATCCAGGCTATAATAGGCCAGAAATTCAACAGAATGTGCAGCAGTAGAACAGGCAATGTCTTTAAATGAACTTACAACATACCTGCACAAAATCAGCTTGACGAGCATCTAATGGTACAACTGAAGAATCATGAGAGGCCAAAACTTCACGCAACAATGTGAGTGTTTGATTTAATGCAGAACTTGGCCCAAGATCAGGTGGTGGGAGTTCAACCTAAAATACAGGATAAGTTTTCTATTATTTATATTGTTCTGCTAAATTTTAACACATAAATAAATGCCAATATACAGTAATAAGACATAATGAAATACCTTAATACTTAATATACTTACTTTATGCAAACAAATGTAAAATACATATCCATAACTTTACAAGTGCAGTACATATAATAAAAGGTATTAAGCACTGTTTGACACAATAAAATCTGTAATTCATCAAAAGCTTATTTTATATTAAATTGATCAGCACTGAGAGTGACATAAGTTGTTTTTTAGAATATCTCACCATTAGAAGTACAAAATTCATACTTGTGAAATTCAAACATTGTGAAGAGACACTTCCAAAAATGTTTATTTCTAGCTTCGAATATAGGGCATTTTGCCTTTAAAAGGATAAATACATATTTCTTCCAGACTATTAAATTTGGGAGCTGGAGCCATAGTACAGAAGGTCAGATACATGCCCTGCATACGGCTGAACCAGGTTAAGTCCTTGAAAACCCATATGGTTCCCTGAGCGCCACCAGGAGTAACTCCTGAGTGAAGAGACAGGAGTGACACCTGAGTACCACAGGGTGAGTGACCCAAAAAATTTGAAAAGAAAAAAAGAGACTGTTAGATTTTTAGTTATGAATGTTTGGGAGAATGTGGTAAGAAAGTTTACATACTAGAATATTAAAGTGCTTCAAACTACCTTGTTTCCTCCCAATGAAATTTTATCCTTGAATTTCCTTTTCTCACATCAGAAAAAATAATTAGTTCCCACACACATTTTCTTAAAAGCAGAAATGTCATAAAAAAGTTTATCTCAGCTTATAACTTTATTTTAAAAGCTATTCTTCCTGACAATTTTACTATCCACTTAAAATTCTATTAACAAAAGTTTCCACTTGGTTGCTTTGCTAATGAAGATCATTCCGCAATAAGTGTTTTTTCTTCATAAGGCTAGAAGCTTTTAAGAAGAAGTAAAAGGTTTACAAATGCAGAGTAAGCAAAAGATAATATAAAATAAGGAGCATTCTAATTTGAAGGAAAGATAAATTTTGAAGAAAATCTGAAATAGTTGTAGGTATAAGTAACACACGAGCTACACAGTATCATATTGCAATCTCAATTCACTGTTAAATATTCTTAAATATGCAACAACTCATATCTGAGAAAAATATTTCAGGGTAGCACTGTAGCACTGTCCTCCTGTTGTTCATCGATTTGCTCGAGCGGGCCCAGTAACGTCTCCATTGTGAGATTTGTTGTTACTGTGCTTGGCATATCGAATACATCACAGGTAGCTTGCCAGGCTTTGCCATGAGGGAGAAATACTCTAGGTAGCTTGTACAAATACTAATAACAGGAATGAGCAGTGAAACAAGTCAAAACCCATTCCCTGCTACAGACGAACAAAGCTTGAAATTAGTATATTTATAATTAGTTCCTTTCCCTGTTTCTATTCTATTTTGTCTTCAGGGCTTAATTGGAATATGCCATTCTTAAAGCTTGCTTTCATTTTATTTCCATATTTTCTTGCAGTTCTATTTCAACTTTACAAGAGAAATAAAATATAAAAGAAACCAATGTTTTAAAGTGTTTTCTTTTCAAAAAATGAAATATCTACTTGGGGTGGAGAAGGTTAGAGTCTTTCATCTCAGGTTGGGCAAAAATAAACTTTAGGAAGAAAAAAATAGAATGTGAAAGTAGAAGCACAAAAACAGCTGAGAACATGCATCTCAATAAATTTATAAAATAATCTAACATTATCTCAGTGGCAGATGCTGAACTTATTCTATGTTGAATTTGAATATATTCCCTTTGAGTAGAGAAGTTTGCAAGTATGACATATTCCCAACAACAAAACTTTAAGCAAGACTTTTGTCTTACTTTGTAAAAGTTAAAAGTTGATGTGTCTGAAATACAAACCTGAAAATGCAAATGAAAAGCTGGAGAAAATATTTGTAATGTATATGGCAGTTATATACTTAATGTATAAGAAACATCTGAGGGGCTGTGAGAGTACAGCAGGTAGAATGTCTGGCTTGTATGTGGCCAACGCGGTTCTATCCGAGACACACTATATGGTCCCCCAAGACCACCAGGAGTGATCCCTGACCGCAGAACCAGGAGTAAGCCCTGGGAACAGCTGGATACAGCCCACAAACTGAAAGAAAAGAAAATAGGAATGGGAGAGGGGAAATACCTGAGGGTTGGACTGAAGCCATAACACAGGGTCTAAGATTCTTGTCTTAAAACAAAAAGCTGAAAGTAGATAAAGGACCAAACATGATAACCTCTCAGTGTCTGTATTGCTAACCATAATGCCCAAAAGTAGAGAGAGTATGGGGAATCATGTCTGCCATGGAAGCAGGGGGAGTACAGGAAAGGGGGGAGGTATACCGGGGATATTGGTGGTGGGGAATGTGCACTGGTGGAGGGATGGGTGTTTGATCATTGTGTGATTGTAAACCAAACATGAGAGCTTGTAACTATCTCACGGTGATTCAATAAAATTAAAAAAAAACCTTACCTTGCATGTAACCTCAGTTCAATACCATAGAGTCCCCTAAACACTGCAAAGAGCAACCTCTGAGCACAGAGTAGACCCTGAGCACTACCAATGTGGCCCAACCTTTCCCCAATTCCCATGACACTCCCAACCCCAATTAAAAGATTACTTTAGGGTCAGTTTAAAGGGCTGAAGCATATGCTAGCCTGCAGAGCCCCACATTCAAACCTGGAGCGCTGCATGACCTCCTAAGCACAAGTGGAGAGACCCCCACGCCCCCCAAAAATTGTCTGAAGCGAACAAGATTAAAATTCAGCCTTGTAGGAAAATAGCAAGGGACATATACAGCAAGTCACAAACAGCCAACAAGCATAATTTTAAAAACTCTCAAACAAATCACTAAACTCCAAACAGAAAAAAACAAGTGAGATACCACTTTTTGCTTATCAGATAGCAAAGAATTTTTAAATGTCATGTTTCCAATGTTTGTGAGTTAGTACTACAAAGCACAGAGCAAACAGGTAGAAGGTAAACAGGAGTGGCCGCCTAAGCACACTGAGGACTGTTGGGTATCATGAAGAACTTCACAGATTAGAGATAATACATTTCAGTCACTCCAGACTGGTAGTTTTTTCTTCCCCCCCCCGACCCCCACAAACCAGTGCTCAGCAGTCAGCATAAAAGAAGGAAACTGATGAACTGAGTTAATCTAGGATAGCTCTGCAGTATCAGTGCAGTTAAAGAACGAGGGTGCTCGAGTTAATTAAATGCAATGGTAAGAAAATGACAGAGCACAGGCTAGCAGAAAACCAAGTGAATCAGTCACTCATGTAACTAGTATTTACGAGAAGGCGCTATGCAAGAGAACGACTTGGTTAACAATTTAATTACTGTAAAGTGTACTGTTCACTGGCACTACATATATTCCTAATGTGTGCAAGCATCAGACTCCACAACTCTATCTCATAACTTGAAACTCTAATGCATTCAACAACAACAAACGCCCCAACCTCCACTCTCCAGTCCCAGGAAACCATCATTTTAGTTTATGTTTCTGTGATATTTGTCCAGAGCCTGGCAAGCTACCTGTGATGTATTCAATATGCCAAACACAGTAACAACTAGTCTCACCATGGAGACGTTACTGGGCCCGCTCGAGCAAATCGATGAACAACTGGAGGACCATGACCGTGACTGTGACCTCATATAGGCAGAATCAAATAGCATTCATCCTTTTTGTGAATGAGTTATGCCACTTGGTATAATATCCACTAGGTTCATGTGTACAAATTTCCGTAAGGCAAGTAGTACCCCACTGATGTACGTCTACTCAGCTAACAATAGACACTTCGGATGCTTTCAGATTTAGTTGCTGAGAATATGCCACTACGAACATAGGTGCCTGAGACCAGGCTTTCAATTCATGTGGATACACACCCAGATGCAGAATTGTTCTTATAATTCTATTTTTCATTTTCAGAGGAACAACCATACTGTTTCTCATTAACAGGGCACAAGGGTTTCAATTTTCCCAGATCCTCAGCATTGTTATTTTCTTGTTCCTTACAGCAGCCATCCGAATAGGTAAGAGAAAGAATCTTACTGTGGCTTTAATTTGCATCTCCCTAATGATCAGCCATCCTTTCACGTGGCTATATATCATCCATGTACATATCTTCTCTGGAGGTAAGTCTAATCAAGTCCTTTGTCAATTTTTTAATCAGGTTCATATTTAATTTTTGCCTTTAAGGAGGTCTGTACACTGGTTATTAACCCCTTTTTAAACATATGACTTCCATTGTGTGAAATGTCTACCTTTTAGGTTTTGAGAGAGTATGTATCTTTTGATGATTTTTTAAATTTCATAAAGTCCTCCACAAATTTCATCCCATGAAACTACAATTTCATGAAGTTGCTCTTCCAAGAGAAACTGAGTTGTACATGGGCATTAGAGAGGCTAATATAGGCTCTGGGGAAATAAAAAAGAATCACATACTCTAGAATAGATTGCTAATGACCATTCTATGCTAATTATTATAATTAGCCTAAAAGTGCCTAATGTAATCAGCCTATTAGCTAGAGCATGTGATTTTCTTAAAAATGGTGTTTGTGATGTATCCTTGGAAGTTTCTTTAATGAGTTCATAATAAATGAAGCAAAAATAATGATTTGATTATTTAAATCCATTCTTTAAGGTGCTACTACATTATAGGGTTCAATTAAAAATATTACCTCTCAAATATTCTAAAAAGTTATTCCATTTTTGTTTTTATTTTTCCTGTCTGGATTGGCGTTATTTTATTTAACTACAGCATATTACTCAAAGGAACAAATTTTTTATAAGGTCAAAGTTAGACCATCAGAGAGTAAAAATATTAGCAAAAACTTTTAGTAAGAGCTCATTTTTCATTCCTTAAGCTATCTTAGCTCTTATCTACATATAGTACGTTTGCTTTAACTATAATTTTTTAGTTATAAAGATAGAGCAGTGAAACTACCTTTGGATTCTATCTTCACTTATGACTCAATATTACATTGCCCCAGAAAGACCATTAGCCTAGCTAGATCCAGCATACCACTTCAAAATGAATTTTGTGGCTCTCAGCAGAACTTAAAAAGAAGTTATTGTAGGAAATGTAAGAAAATCATAAACAATTTAAAATAAAATATATTTAACTGTGAAAGATTCATATCCACATATGTAGCTTAAGAACTGATTTTTTTTCAAACATACCTTATCCATTAATTTACTTGCATGAAGACTCAAGCTATTGAAGAATATTTTTTTACTTAGCAAATGCATTTCCTCAATGGTAGTTAACAATGTGGTTGCACTATTTCCAACAATGCCACTAAAAGCAAAGAATATTTTAGGTTGTAAAATAGAAGTTAAACAATTTATTTAATGAGTATAATTATTTAAAAAATCTGGCTGTGAAGACTTATATAGAAGATAATCTATGAATTAAAATTACCCAGTTTCATATAAAAATAAGAATTTTTTTATATAAACAAATGAAAGCAAGTGAACGATTTCAGTATTTCACAATCTTCAAAAAGGTGGTTAGAACACTTGGTATATGCAAACCTGTATTTCTAATCCTTTCATCTATTGCAATAAATGCACGCCTTCATTATTTGAGATCTAATTTTAATAAAGCCTTTCCATCAATAACTTTATTGATAATTTTTAAAATTTTACTAATAATGACTTATCCCTAACTGAAACAATTTTACAGAGCTCCCTAAGTAAAGTATAATTATGAAAAATTAATAATTATGAGTATTTTCTATATTCCCCAGTTTGCTATTATAAATCATTTATTGGCTCAGGAGTTTCTCATTTTTGTCAGATTGTAAAGCAAATATGCAAGATAATTCCCAATTTTTTCTTAATTAAGAATTGAGTGTGGGAAGTGATACTATACAATATGTTTTTAGAAAACAAGGTTATTCCCAAGAGACACTTTAACTCGGTAGGAAGGAAGAGCATATCATTTCTAAAGGTACAATATTATCTTACTATGGCTAAAAAAAATTTAAACTACTGAATTAATGGAATTGATACTGATAATAGGTTTAAAACACCTAGATTTACTTAGACCCATATACTATGTTTATTAAAAAAACAAATAATATTACATATTTCAATGTATTTTTCAAACTTAAATAAAGTTTAATTCCTCTATAATAAATGCAGAGAATATTTATTTTCATTTTTAAAAATAAAACAAACAGCAAACAAAATGCAACTTTCCAAACAAAAAGCCATAATGCCTGGGGTTATTTTTAAAATGTTTAAATTTTTAAGCGGAGAAATATAAAGATGCATTTATATTAATTTTTACTCTTAAATCCATCAATGTTAGAAACTGAGTTGCCAATTACTTCTTCAAATAATAAATACTAAGTATCTACTATTATGCCATCACTTATGTTATTTTACTAATATCTCCACATTACCTCTGTATTGGTGGATTTCAGCTACTATGGTGATTTCAAATTATTACTTTTAATTATTTTTATAAAACCATGATTATCCTATTATCTTCCTTTTATGACACTATATTTTAATATAGTCATGATAGACGTACTGTGTGACATGTTGTGCATATTCTCATGTGTAGATATATAAGTGCAGCAAAATCCGGATAAGAAAAAGACTTTATACACATCAAATAATAGCATGCAGACAGCAAATTATAGCATGCGTGCAATCATTAACACAATCAGAAGATGCTACTAGTTTTACCAAGTCATTTAAACAGTGAAAACCAAGAAAACAAGAAACAGAGTGATTACACAAAATTTAACAAGTACATTTTACCGTTTCACTTACCTGATTGTGTGGTGATAAAATTTGAGGAGGTTAGAAATTTTGTATAATAAAACTGCACCAGGTTCAGCAACTATCACTTGTTCAATTCGAACCTACGAAAATTAGGAGAAAAAGAAATACTTCTTAAAAACTTTTCATTACTCACGCAGAGTAAAAATAACATTAAAAAGAATATATACAAAGGGGAAGGTCTGCCTTGCACACCGCTGACTAGGTTTGAACCCCGGCAGCCTATAAGGTCCTCTATCACCTGGAGTGATCTCTGAGCGCAGAGCCAGGAGTTTAAGTCCTGAACTGGGAGTAGTGTAAACACCCTCCCCAAATAAATAAATACTGTAGAAATCACAAAATTCCTCCTAAATAATAAATGTCTGAGTAGTAAGTCAAAGGGGTTGGTAAAAAAAAAAAAAAGTTAACAGTGATTATATTCACCAAAAGAAATACCCAATTGTCTACAGAATTTAGTTAAGGCAGTTGTTACCATAAATATTATAATGATGAGATCATTTGGGGGCTTTTCGCAGTATGTAATATAATTTAGATCAACACTAATTGACACAGCAGTTTCTATTTCCCTAAAGACACTAGTGAAAAATGTACCATCACTGAATATTCAGAAAAAAATCAATTCTGATCTTAAATATTAGACCAAGCTTCATTTTATTTTAGAGAATAGGAAAGTGGACCATCTTTAATAATCGCCTACATTTTTGTCTAATTATAAGATGACAAAGTTCACATCAGGTCAAGTACAAGACTAACTACTAGGGACCTTTTCTAATTAAATTGCATTACTCAGAGATCTTTCCTTTCATATTCCCTAAGTAACGATATAATCTAAGACGCATTGATACTAGCTTACTTAAATTTCATATGACACCTAACCTTGTTGCTTATACCAACTTTTTGTTTCTAAGAAGGTTCTAAACACAGACCATAGACATTGTGTTTTCTGCTTTTACATCACATCTGTGCACACACACACATATACAGAGAGAGAGAGAGAGAGAGAGAGAGAGAGAGAGAAAGAGAGAGAGACAGAGAGAGAGAGAGAGAGAGAGAGAGAGAGAAGATGGTTAATAAATGCCTCTGAATGTTTAAGTTTCTGTTTTACTTAGGTTTTGGAATATGCCATAATGTAAACAAATGTGATTTGCCAAAATAAAATTTTATGAATGTATGTATGTAAGCATATAAAAAATCTCTTGGATCATAAGAGTTGATTTTTAAGTTAACATATGTATAGAACTGATTGTGCATTTTGGCATAAAATATGGGCTAGTATACATCCATAAGTGGTATTTCTGAATTTTATTACCCTAATATGATTAGGATAAAATAAGGATATGATTACAGAAAGGCAATTCTTCTCTTGTAGATTTACAATACCACTTCATCTATTTGACATTGTGTCTCCCACAATTTTTTTAATTTTTGGAAGTGGGGGCCACACCCAGCTGTGCTCAGAACTTAGTGTTGACTTTGTACTCAGGGATCAATCACTCCTCGTGGCTCTGAGGGGACCATTTGTGGTTTGGGGACAGAACCTGGAAAAGCTGCATGCAAGGTAGGTACCTTAATCCCTGTACCATCTCTCCAGCCTGTCTAAAATTTTTATTAAAATATTGACATCCCAACTTCCTTAAAGTAGAAAATAGAGGAAGGGAGGGAGGAAAAGGAGAAAAAGCAAAGAGAAAGGTGTCCTGAAGAAAAAGGAAAAAAATATGTCATTCACTTCTATTCACAGGGAGATAGCACAACACACTGGAGGGTTTGCTCTGCAGGTAGGAGACCCAGGTTTGACCTATTACCATGTGGTCCCCTGAGCACTACCACGTGTGGTCTTCAAACCAAACACACAAAGAGAAAACGTCCACAGAACAATGGCACTCCTCTATAATGCCACAGGAAAAGTCAGAGCAAAATGTGAGAGCTCAGAGAAGTAAAGGGAGAATCTGTTTACTGTGGAGAGGGGGAAAAAGAGAATAATGGGGCGTGGGAAGGAAATAAAAGGAATGACTTCAGCTTAATATCATAGACATGTGCTTGCAGTATCCATCTGTATACACCAGCAATCATAGGGCACTACTCCTGACAGCCTCACGGAATCCAGCACGCTTAGCTCTACACCCCAGGTCACTAATCTTTGTACAGACACGAACTTTCATAGGACCCACCACAAGTGGAAGTTAGGAGTAGATGTACACTGAAATTTTTATTCAAGGAGATGAAATTCAAAGTTGGCGGCTTATCTCTTAGGAATTTAGAGAAATCATTTTCATGAAAGAAGAGTCATTTTACCCATGGACTTGAAAAAGAAGATTATATATATATACACACATATATATATATAGACACACACATACACACACACACACACACACATATATCACTGTCCTCCCGTTGTTCATAGGGGACCCAATAACACTGTGAGACTTGTTATTACTGTGTTTGGCATATGGAATACGTCACGGGTAGCTTGCCAGGATTTGCCGTGCGGGTGAAATACTCTCGGAAGCTTGCCAGGCTCTCCAAGAGGGGCAGAGAAATCAAACTTGGGTCGACTGGGTAGGCCACGTGCAAGGCAAACACCCTACCCACTCTGCTATCGTATATATATTACATCACTGCAGGCTGGAGCGATAGCACAGCGGGTAGGCATTTGCCTTGCACATGGCCGACCCAGGTTCGATTCCTCCATCCCTCTCAGAGAGCCCGCCAAGCTTCGAGAGTATCTCGCCCGTATGGCAAAGCTTGGCAAGCTACTGTGACATATTTGATATGCCAAAAACAGTAAACAACTAGTCTCACAATTTGTTGTGAGACGTTACTGGTGCCTGCCCAAGCAAACAGATGAACAACAGGAGGACAGTGCTACAGAGCTACATCACTGTATCACTGTCATACCATTGTTCATCGATTTACTCAGGCAGGTACCAGTAAGGTTTCCATTAGTCCCAACCCTGAGATTTTAGCAGCCTCTCCTTACTCGTCTTTCCCAACGCTGCCATATTGGAGGCTCTTTCAGGGTCAGGGAAATGAGATCTGTTATTGTTACCGTTTTTGGCATATCGAATCCACCATGGGTAGCTTGCCAGGCTCTGCTGTGCAGGCGGGATACTTTCAGTAGCTTGCCAAGCTCTCCGAGAAGGGCAGAGGAATCAAACCTGGGTCAGCCACGTGCAAGGCAAAAGCCATACTTGCTGTGCTATCGCTCCAGCCCATATAAATATGTAAATATACAAATATAATCTAGTTTCACAAGTGTATCATCTGAGATTCCTTGCCAAGGACAAAGTTCCAAAGAAAATTTTAGGAACATTAGTTAAAATCTTCCTTAACAAAGCACAACAAATATGGGGGGGTAGAGAAATAGCACAGTGGATAGGGCACCTGCCTCGTGTTTGGCCAACCCCGGTTCAATCTCCAGAACCACATATGGTACCCTGAGCTTTCCAGGAATTATCACTGAGTGCAACACCAGGAGTAAGCCCTGAGCACTACGTGGTGTGAACCAAACCCCCAAACAAATGAAAATAAATTAAAAAATATATAAAATAAATAACTCTTAGACTGGAGTGATAGCACAGCAGGTAGGGTGTGGGTGTTTGCCTTGCACGTGGCAGACCTAGGTTCGATTCCTCTGTCCCTCTTGGAGACCCTGGCAAGCTACCGAGAGTATCCCGCCTGCACGGCAACCCTGGCAAGGTCCCCCTGGCATGTTCAATATGCCAAAACCAGTAAGAACAAGTCTCCCAATGGAGATATTACTGTGCCCGCTTGAGCAAATCGATGACCGAAGAGGGCAGACAGACAGACAGTGCTTAAAAAAAAAAAAAGAAAAACAGCAGTTACCAAAAGGGAATTGGAAGAAAGGGTAGACAGTGAGAAAGGCGCTAGGACTAGGGGAATAGAGTGATGAAGAACACATATACGTGTGAAGCTCTAGGACAGAAATTTAAATCTAAAGCAGAAATTTAAATAGTATTATAAGCCAACAGTAAATTAATACTTTATTTTAAAAATGAAGATAAAATAGAATTTGTTTGATAAGTTCATGTCATGAAGTGTCCATATTTCAACTCCTATTTAATAAACTGAAGTCAAAGAATAAGCACAATTATACCAAAATAATGTGAAAACATAAATGAAAAAAAAAACTTGGTTGCAGACCTGCCTTGTAAGTTCCTAGAGTTGTACTTCATCTATTGTCTTCTCATTTAGTCCATAAATAACCCTATAATGTATTTTTATATACAGATTAAATATAAGAAGTTCAAGTACAGAAGAAAATTAGGCCTTTCAAATGGATCACCATTAAGTGGCAGAGCGCAAATTCTAACACAAATTTCACTTCAAATTATATTCCTTGTACTATAAATAAGGTAAAGGTAAAGGCCCTCCCATTGATCGTCGATTTGCTCGAGCGGGCCCAGTAACGTCTCCATTGGAGACTTTGTTGTTACTGTGTCTGGCATATCGAATACTCTCGGTAGCTTGCCGGGCTCTCCGAGAGGGGCGGAGGAATCGAACTCGGGTCGGCCATGTTGGCCGCTTGTAAGGCGAACGCCCTACCCGCTGTGCTATAAATAACAAATAATAATATCCTATTTATTTTGGGGGGTTACTCAATAATAACATGTATCTTTTTTTAATAACATGTATCTTATATCTCAGGATTTATTACTATCTATTGATATAGAAAAACATTTGCTGCATTTGAAATATGAAACCTAATTTATACTTGGTAACTCTCTTAAGAGTTCATAGATCAGTTTTTTTGGGGGGAGGGTCACACCCAGCAATGCACAGGGGTTACTCCTGGCTCTGCACTCAGAAATTACTCCTGGCGGTGCTCGGGGACCAAATGAGATGCTGGGAATCGAACCTGGGTTGGCCGCATGCAAGGCAAACGCCCTCCCTGCTGTGCTATCGCTCTAGCCCCAATAGATCAGTTATTTTAATACACTTTTTCTCAACTGATCAACAAATTATTATGGGATGCATGTAAAAGCAACTCAAAACAAAAGGAAAACTAAGAATATTTCACCCTTTTTTTTAGAGAAAATTAACATCATTTAAATCTGTATTTTATTATGCTAACTTGACCAATGTACAGCTTGAATTTAAGGTATTTAAATTTAAATGCATTTAAAAGCAAAGACTAAATGGAGATAGAGCACAGTCTTCATGAAGCTTGTCTTGCATGTAGTCCCCAACCTCATCCTCTCCCAGTTTGATTCCCAGCACCACTTACGGTACTCAAAGCACCGGGATGGAGTTCACTCCTGACCACAGTCCCAGGAATAACCCCTGAGCACTGCAGGATATAGTCCCAAAATCCGCACTTAAAAACAAATTAATAAGTATAGGGAAAAAATTTTACTCTATCCTATATAACATATGTAGAAAACATTTTACCTTTAGGGGTCTGCACACACCCTCAGTTATATGCCCAACAACTTCTTGAATATTCTCTTCAACACCTATAATTTATCAAAGCAAAGGAATTTTTCAATATTATATACTTCGTTAACATAAAACATAATAAAAGACTACAAACAATAAAACATGATTAATGGCACTAATAACATTTCAAATAATTATGACAATATTACATTAAGTATTTTAGGACATCACTAGTACATTAATACGTAAATTCACAGCCCTCTTAATTCCTTTAACTATTGACTAATAAACATTTTTTTTTGTGAAATAGAGTAAAAGCTATGTGGATAAAGGAAAGTAAGTCATTGACTGAGATATATTCATTAGGAGCACCAATGTGAAGATATATTAGTGTTCATCTTACAAACACTTTATTCTAGTCAGTGGTACTGAGCATATAAGCATAGGATGGAAAGATGGAAAACACTGAGTAATCTGATGGACAAACTAAACTTCACTGAACATTATTCATCAATTTCTATAAAGGGTGCTTAACATTTACTGCTTAAAACTACCTTCATTGCTGCAAATGAATAAACTGAGTCTTAGAAGAATTTTATTATTCCCACAGAGTAACTGACAACTCCCATTCATTTTTTACCTATATCTTCTAATTTCTTCTCATGTATACAAAAACATTCATACATTTTAAAACATTATTTAAACTGGCAATTTTAGAACAAGACAAAAGTGCAACATTGCGCCAACATAACGCATATGCTAAATCTAATCTCAGTATTGGAGAGTAAAAACCAAAGTTAACTACTGCCACTAATTTGTACAAAGCGTTCATCCCAAGCTCATGGGGTGAACCAGGTGATGGGGGACTGAGCTACGCAAAACAGCTTCCTGACACCTCATTTCTCTTCTACAACAACAAAACACCGGAATTAGCCATCAGCCCCTCCTATCTGAGGCAGGCATCAGAAGGCAGTGACAGCTAAGCAGATCTGAAAATTTTGTGAACAAAAACATTTTTCTTCCTTGAGATCAAGGCCAAAATCAAGTGCATTCAGTATCCAGGAGCTTTACCTAAGAAATAAAAACAACTTGAAAATAGTCACACAAAAATGAAAAAGCAGGAGGTCGGTGAGCCATAGGAATAAAAAGTACTGTAGGTTAATAACCAGGTCTCTCAGTCTACTCAGTCAGTGACAGATAAAATGACAATACCACCCGCTGTGGCCTTCCCAGTGAAGGGAGACTCCAAGCTCACATGGAAGGTTACAAGGGCCCACTGCAAAAAATGTGAACCCTTCAGAGACAGCAGGAGAAGAGTAATTAGGAGGTGGACCATTCCATATAGTTGTGAAGCACAAAGCATTAGAGACAGAAATGGAAAGTAAAGTCCTGTGCTACTTTCCATGCTTGGGCAACAGAAGACATCAATTGGGCCCACCTTGTGTAGTCACATGCTTTAAGAGAGCTTCGAGGTGTTCTTTTTCGGATGCAGTAGCCTGATGGAGCCATGCCAACATATCTCCTACGTATCTATTGAAAACATGACATGTTAGAAAGTATTTCCTTGAGATAAAGTCATGAAATTTGCTTAAAAATGGGTAGACATGGAGAGTATCATGCTAAGTGAAATGAGTCAGAAGAGAGGGACAGACATAGAAGGACTGCACTCATTTGTGGAGTAGCACTACACTGTAGCACTGTCCTCCCTTTGTTCATCAATTTGCTTGAGCGGGCCCAGTAACATTGTGAAACTTGTTGTTACTGTGTTTAGCATATCAAATACATTATGGGGAGCTTGCCAGGCTTCGCCCTGAGGGTGAGATGCTCTCGGTAGCTTGCTGGTTCTCTGAGAGGGGTGGAGGAATCGAATTCGGGTTGGCCGGGTCGGCCGTGTGCAAGGCAAATGCCTTACCCACTGTGCTATCACTCCAGCCCATTTGTGGGATATAAAACAATATAACATGAGGCTGACACCTAAGGATAGTAAATACACAGGCCAGGAAGATTGCTTCATAGCTGGAAGCCGGCCTCATGAGCAAAAGGGAGAAGGCAGCTGGAATAGAGAAGGGATCATTAAGAAAAAGATGGCTGGGGGAATTAGTCAGGATGGGAGATGTGTGCAGAAAGTAGATAATGGCCAAACATGATAACCTCTCAGTATCTGCATTGCAAATCATAATGCCCAAAAGTAGAGAGAGAGTATGAGGAATATTGTCTGTCATGGAGGCAGGGGGAGGTATATCGGGGATATTGGTGGTGGGGAATGTGCACTGGTAGAGGGATGGGTGTTTGAACATTGTGTGATTGTAACCCAAACATGAAAGCTTGTAACTACCTCACAGTGATTCAAAAACTTTAAAAAAAAAAAAGAAAGAAGGAAGGAAGGAAGGAAGGAAGGAAGGAAGGAAGGAAGGAAGGAAGGAAAGAATGAATTTCCATGAGGAAAATATCTAACGCTTCATGGTGACCAGTTACTATACCTCAAAGGGTCATGGGAGTGCATTTCAATGGGTCTCGGCGTCCCGCTGGGACCCCCTCTTGTAAGAGCATCAATAAATCCACGAACAACTGTACTCCTCCTGGCGGTCCCAAATTCATCTAAGGTGTACCTAGAAGAAACAAGTATACAGAAAAGAGATTCTCTTCCCCGCTCCAACCCCAGAGTATTTTTTCCTTATCACATGATCTACATGCAGTTTCTGAATTTAGCATTTTTAATCAGTGAGTTACCAAGTGATTCACAATTGGGTTTCAGGCATACAGTGTCCCAACACCAATCCCTTGACCAGTGTCCACATCCCTCCACCAATGTCCTCCTCACCCCAACCCCACTGGCTTTCCATCCACTAGTTTGGGACTATGAAAGGTGCTTAACCCTGATTTTTTTTTTTTACAACTCTCCTCAAAAAGTTTTCAAACAAAAATAAAAGAATTAAAGGGTATGAAAATATGTATTTTCACACCTCCTAGGAAAGAAAGCCGGCATCGGGAATGAACAACGGGACAGTGACACCAGTGTGTTTGGTGAATACAGATGAGGAAGGTAGAACCACCCCCCTGGGCTCTCAGGCTTCAGCATCTAAGAGTCTCAAACAAGACATTCACATTAAGTGGTATCGACTTTGGGCAGGGCGGGTTTAGTTTGTAACTTAGCAGTTCAAAACAACAAAACTTCTTTTACGCTAAAATTTTTTTTCTTCGAGGCTGGAGAGGCAGTACAGTGGGTAAGACCAATCAGGTTCAATCCCCAGAAAAACCTATGGTTCCCCCCAAGCCCACTTGGAGTGATCCCCAAGTGCAGAATCAGGAGTAAACCCTGAGCACCCCTGGATGTGCCCCCCCCCAAAAAAAAAGTTCTCCTTCATACTTACTATCACAACTCACCAGCAAAATTAATCCAAAATACACATTAAAAAATTTATTTTGAATATAATGTTAGACATGTTACATGTTTCTGAAATTTACTGTCCAAACAAGACATTCACAGGGAATACGTTAAAAAAAAATTGGGGGTGGGGGGCATAACTAGCTATGTTCAGGGCTTAATCCTGAATTCAGGGATCATTCCTGGTGATGCTCAGATATGTGCTACCGGGGACAGAACCCAGGTCAGCCACATGCAAGGCAAGTACTTAACCTGTTGTATTATCGTTTCAACCCTAGGGTGTGTGTGTGTGTGTGTGTGTGTGTGTGTTATGGCTTGGAAATGAGTACCCATTTCCTTTTTTTTTTCCTTTTTGGGTCACACCCAGCGATGCACAGGGGTTACTCCTGGTTCATGCACTCAGGAACTACTCCTGGCCGTGCTCGGGGGACCATATGGGATGCTGGGAATCGAACCTGGGTCAGGCCATGTGCAAGGCAAACAGCCTACCTGCTGTGCTATCATTCCAGCCCCCCTGAGTACCCATTTCTTTAAAAAGAATATTTCTGTTTGTTCTTTTTGTATTACTGTTCCTTACACTCACTATATAGTTTGAAGATTTTTTTTTTTCAGAACAAAGGAAAACAACGTATTTCTCTGCAGGTCACTGTTAGAGAACTGCAGATACAGTATTTCATTATCCAACAGATAAATTAACGCAACCAAGATTTCCCAAAGGTTTTCCAGAGAGCAAATTTTTCAGGCTGTGGCATTTTCTTTAATAAACTATTTAATTAATGAGAAGTTCAGATTTTTTTAAATACAGAAAATCAGAAAGAGCAAAAATTTTCAATAAAAAGTGAAGCGAAGACAATAGCTATACACTTTCACAAATTTGATCTTTTTTAATAAGATTTCACTGTAACCAGATATTGGTTCTTTGTGTTGGTTTTGTTAAAAGGAAATGATTTTAAAGTTCCCTGCAGTGACATAATAGCAATATGCCAGGAGGAAAATGTAGTATTAAGCTAAGTTTTGCTAAACAGCACAATTGCCTTATATACACTTTACCTTTTAAAATACAACAGAACCAAACTGTTTACTTCTTTTTCTCAGACTCTTAAGTTATAACTATGTTTAGAATGAAAAATGCATTCTTTTTAAATAATCACCAATTCTTTGAAATGATTTATCTGATGACTACTTAGCACAGCATGAATTCACAAACTTTTAAAATAAATAACAGTAATCCTCACTTTAGGGCCCAGCCAACCACAATAAACTGTTTTAAGGACTATTTACTGTGACAAGTTGTATTAGAAACTAGTGAATCTACAAGCATTTTAAGGGTGTGTGTGGAGTTTATCAAGCCTGAAAAACACTAGAATCTAAACATAAAATCTGAACTAGAAATATTAATATTAACCTCCTGCAATAACAAATATAATTTGAACAAGAACAGCATGAGCTATAATGAAACTTCACCAATGACATTTATAAATATGAAATATATTTTCCCAGAGGCAGAAGAAAATTCTGGCCAAAAGCAAATTCTTTTCTAACAAAGGTCAAAAAGTAAAAATACAGCTTTATAAAAGTGAATGTTAAATTATATAAAGAGGACTAAAGGAACAGTTCAGCAGGTCAGGCTCTTGTCTTGCTTTTGGCTGACTCAGTTCTGATCCCCAACACCCCACATGATCCCTTGATCCAGGAGTGATCCCTGAGAGCAAAGCCAGGAGTAAGTCCTAAGTACTTCTGGGTGTGGCCAAAAAGAAAATAAATAAATAAAAATTAAATCAAATTATGCAAGTGGTCTAAGATGCTGCTAGTTCATGCTAGTTCAAAGTCCTCATTTTTCAGTATGTGAACTATAGCTAAAAGAAAATCTGCTCAGAAGACAAATTAAAAGTTTTTTTAAGTGAGAAATTCTCTCTTAAAACAAATTTACAATGAAAAAAATCTGTACTATACATATTATATAGTACTGAAATACAATATATACTGTAAATATACATACTTAATGAATTTCATCTGAAGGTTTAACAATGGAAAGATCCATCAAGTTTTTTATTATACTTAAACTGAATTTTTTTTCAAGAAATTAAGGTACTGGATTTATTGAAAGTTTATAATGCATTAGCACCTCAGAAAAACTGAGTATCGCAACTTTTCCCAAGGACTTCAATAATTAACATTTTTGTTGTACATGGTATCTAGACATCTTAGAAACATTACTTAAACAAGATTATACAGTGCCATCTGGTGGTTATCATAAGACATTATAGCTTTTCCTAAATTTAAAAAGAAATTAGATGAATATTTAATCAAAGACCAGCTTTGTTATTTTTTAACATTTTATGGTAATCAGCTGGCCTTAAAATTTTGCTTCCACCACTTAACTCTCAGATGCTTCTTAAAAATCATCCAAATTGCTCTAGTGTTTCCTATTCCTTGCCAAGCACCCCTGATGGACAGATCTCATCCAATGTACCACAGTTATAGTCTTTGAAGTCAGTTAGGCCCTTGTTACACTTACCTTGAGTTCAAAACTTTCTATTTGTCTCCTTTCAAAAATAAAGATAAAAATCAAATGATGATTTTTAATAATAATGATGAGCAAAGCACTGTGCTAAACACCTTTATAAACGGTCTAATTCAATCTTCACAATAACCCTCTCAGACAGACCTTACTGTTCATTTTTCTTAAGAAACACTGAACCAGACTGCCCCTGGGACATGTCCTCTACAGCAGCGATTATTTTCAGTTATTTAAACAGATTTGCTATCCGCCATAGCAACGTGAGTAGTTTTTATTGGGGCTGTGTCTCTAGGACACACAGGAAGTACTCAGAAAGAAGTGCTAGAACATGATTTGGTGCAATTGCTCCATCTTTTGTGTTCTGCAACTTTGTCATCGAGTAACTAAAGATCCACTGAGGACATACTGAGAGAATCCCCTGAAAGCAGATTCACCAGGAAGGATTTGATGAGCCCCCACTTCACCCTTCCCTGCACTGTAACCTCACACTTGGTCTTCCTATTTTCATTCTGTGAGTCCTAGACATTAACCATTATAATTTTAGATATTCAAAATGTGTCAAGCATTTGCTTCCATCTTACGCAAGAAATTATAATACAAGCATACAATATGCAAACAATTTCAATCATGCTTAAGGTTCTTAGCCAAAGCATTAACACTTCTGTCTTGGTTGGCATAAATTTCAGGAGCAAAGACCTAAGCACTTACTTCTCCTGAATCTCATGATTGGAATCCTGATTTTTTAAAAAATGTTTTTCAAAAAGTTTGCTAAGAAGGTAGGGTGGGAGGGAATTTGGGGCCACTGGTAGATGAATGCTAATGGTGGAGGCTCTGTTCCTGTGGCGCAACACTGGAACGCCTAAAACTCCTTCATTAACATCTTTGTAAATCATGGGGAACTTTTTTTTTCTCAATTTTAAGTCATTATTTCCATCAGTCACTTAACCAACCTTCTTCTCTCCAAGGCAGACAGAGAGTAATGGTTTATTTACAACTACACAGAGTAGAAAGGCAGGGGAAAAATCCTATAACTGTATAAGTAAGCAGAACCTAGATAAAGGGATACTGAGTTTTCCCTCCATCCACCCCAGACTTAGCACACAATGCGCTGTAGTGTTGTCCGCTGTCCGTTGTTCACCGATTAGCTCGAGCGGGCACCAGTAACATCTCCACTGTGAGACTTGTTGTGACTGTTTTTGGCATATTGAATACGCCACGGAGAGTTTGCCAGGCTCTGCCGTGCGGGCGGGACGCTCTCGGTAGCATGCCAGGCTCTCAAGAGGGGGAGGAGGAATCCAACCCAGGTCGGCCGCGTGCAAGGCAAACGCCCAACCTGCTGTGCTATCACTGCAGCCCTAGCATATAATATGCAAATAAATTATTGTTCCAATGGAACTCATACAGTAAGAGAAAAATGAAACTGTACTTTCAAAAATTTTGTTCATGTACTGGTACACAAATCTGGTAATGCTGAAAATTAATAGATCAAAGTAAAGCAGTTTGGTTTGTTAAAATAAAGAAAAGGTCACCAACTTGTATAGCACAGGTCTATCCTGCAGGGCTTCCATCGCATGAGTCAGCACTGGAGAAACATCACAAGATTCTTGCGTGAGTGCTCTGCATTCACCTGAAAAGCAACATGACTCCAGTTAAAATTGGGTTTTACTGTATCCATGGCATCCCAGACACTACATTCTATAGCAAATACACTGATAGGAAAAAGTACATGTGTAAAACCTAGAGAATACGCCAATCAAAAATAAGTTCAGGGGTCTGGAGCAACAGCACAGCGGGTAGGGCATTTGCCTTGCACGCAGCCAACCCGGGTTCGATTCCCAGCATCCCATACGGTCTCCTGAGTACCACTAGGAGTAATTCCTGAGCGCAAAGCCAGGAGTAACCCCTGAGCATCGCCGGGTGCGACCCAAAAGCAAAAAAAAAAAAAGTATTGTAAGCCAATAAAATAATATTAAAAAAAGAATAAGTTCAGGCTGTGAACTAAACTAAATATAAGCGTTTAGGGCTGGAGACATAGCTCAAAGGGCTGGGCACATGATTGGTTGCAGGAGGCCAAGGAACCGCAGGGTCCCCTGAGCAACACTGGGCAAAGCCCTGAGGCACACAGCTCCTGAGCACTCCAGGGGTGAACCAAATGACCTGTGCATCTCTCCAACATAATCATTAATATATCTTTAAACAACTATATATGTTCTCGGGGGCACCCCAATCCTCTCTTATATAATTATTATAGAAAAACTGCAGTTCTAAATAAGTTGTTTGATGAACATTAATAATAAAATTGATGAATTGAGTGATGAAAAACAAACTTTTGAATTTTTATGCAAATGATAATGTTCTAGAGGAAGACACAAATACTGAAAATGTATTTGCTGGGGACAGAGAGAGAGAGAGAGAGTACAGCAGGTAAGTTACTTGCCTTGCATGAGGCTGACCAAGGTTCATTCAATCTCTGGCATTGCATATGCTCCCCTGAGCACCACCAGGAGTAAATCCTGAGTGCTCAGCCAGGAGTAACCCCTGCACATTGCCAGATGTGATTCAGAAACAAAAATAAATTAAAAAAAAAAAGAGTATTTGCTTCTTTTACATTGGAAACAATATCAAAATGGCTGCTAAAAATGTCTATGTAGGTAACTCATATATGATAATAAGACTGCAGTTTCAAACAGTATAGGATTTTAATCTTTTAAATATCTCTATACCAATAATCCCTCCATTTCAGCTTTCTAACTTTATTCATAAAACGTATCTACTTCTTAGTGGGAAAATTGATTCAGTGTCAAAGAACTTAGAATTTTTTCATAAATGCCGAACCTTTTGGCATATGAGGATCTCAACTAAAAGTGAATTTTTCAGCCTGCACTAACTGAAAGAGGTACACTTGCCTGGAATTAAAAATGTCTTGTGGACAGAGCAATAGTACAATTGTTCGAGCCTTGCAATCAGCTGACCCTGGTATCCCATATGGTCCCCCAAACACTACCAAGAGTAACTTCTGAGTGCAGAGTCAGGAGCATGTTGGGTGTGGCCCCTCAAAACCAGCATGTAGATTGTGTGTGTGTGTGTGTGTGTGTGTGTGTGTGTGTGTGTGTGATATGTCTGAGTGAGAAGCCACTTTGGTTTCCACAGTTTGGAACTACTCTGCTAGATGTCATGGGAACACACAAAATCTGAGGAAGCTCCTTGTATTTGAGAAAAAAAATTCTAGCTGAAGAGCTAAGATTCACATCTGTGAAAAGCAAAGTATTAACAGAGCAGTAAATTATTTAATGCCGAATAAAATTCACTGGTGGCAAAAATCACTTACTTTAATGTACACACAGAAAACACCAAGACAGAAAAACCTAAGCTTAGCTTTAAATAATGAGGTAGTACGGGGACTTAAAGAACAACACATAGTACTCCAAATATAAGCAAATAGTACCAATGAGAGGTGTGTGTGGGGGGAGGGGCGGGGGGAACAGGTTTTGTAAAAAAAAAAAAAAGGAATAAGTCATCTAGAACAAAACAGTGTTCCGCAGTACAGAAGAGGTGTAAATGGTTAACTGGATTTCATACTGCTTCCAACAGTCAATTTAACACCTATTAAAATATACCATTTTAGCTGTTTCAACTCATCTTTGATTTTTAACAGGCAATTTTGTGAACAAACTATTGTGTGTCCTCCTGTTGTTCATTGATTTGCTCGAGCGGGCCCAGTAACATCTCCATTGTGAGACTTCTTGTTACTGTGTTTGGCATACTGAATACTCTCGGTAGCTTGCCAGGCTCTCCGAGAGGGGTGAAGGAATCGAACCTGGCTCGGCGAGGCTGGCTGAGTGTAAGGCAAACGCCCTACCACTGTGCTATCACTCCAGCCCAAACTATTAAGATGCTTATATTAAAATTAAAGCAAATAACACCTCCCTACATAGCCCTCCAAAGATCTCAAATCCCCAGAATTTGTGAATCTTTTCTTTTCTTTTCTTTTTTAATTGAATCACAGTGAGATACAGTTATAAGCTTGTTCAGAATTCTATTCACAAGAAGAATTTGGAAACATGTTTTCTTAAAGTTCCTTTGTAATGTTTCCGATGAAAATAAGGTATGAAGCTTCAAACAGATTTTCCCCAGACTAACGAAGTTGATCCAGCACAATCACAGAGACCTAAACTGAATGAGACTGTCAGAAGAACTAGAGATGGTAGAAGAAGCAGGAAAAAAATGCAAAACAACAAAGGGAGTAGATCTGTAACTGCTAGTTTTGAAGATGGAAGAAAGACCACAAGAGGGAAAACATAGACAGCCTCTAGAATAAAACCTCAATTACATCCAACAAGAAAATGCAAACCTCAGGTCTGAGGTCCTACGGACTCAAGAAACAAAATTGTGTCAACAAACTGAATGAGTAAAGAAAATTATTATTCTTAGAGCCTCCAAAAGACGACTACCACCCTGCATTTCAGTGTGGTGAGAACACATTTGATTTCTGACCAACTGAACTCTTGTGTTGTTGTAATAAGCCATTGAGTTTATGGTAATTTGTTACAGCATCAATAGAAAATCAATGTGCCATTTATTAGAAAAAGAGTTATGTCACTAACCAGAGACATGTAATCAAGATAATGGAGAACATAAAAAATGACTTTATTTTATTGTTTTTCATCCTTAATCATGCATATTATTGGACTGCAAGTAAACACACATCATCATCTCATGCTCATGATATAAATAAAAAAGACAGTAGTATATTTAGATGGCCAGGGAGACATTTCAAGGGTTGAGGCATTTGCCTTGCATGAAGTCGACACCAGTTGAATCCTTGGCATAACCTATGATATACCTCAAGCACCACCAGGAGTGACCCCTGAGCACAGAGCTAAGAGTAAGTCCTAAACACTGCCTGGGATAACCCCCGGCCAAACAAAGAAATAAACAAAAATACTCAAATATAAAGTTTGTAATTTTTGAAGCAGCCCTTTTGAGTACTAAGATCAAAATATGGTACAAAATAAAGGCTAGGTTAAATTAAAAAAATAAAGATACATTCATAAATTTAGACCATATGACAGAAAAAATAAAACACTTACTCTGTGCCCATCGGTAAAGCCTCTCATAAGCTGTTTCTTGAAGTAAGGCCATCTGTTCCATAATTTCTAAACTAAAAAAGAAAGCAAAGATTTATAGAGACATTCATATAATAGTTACATATAAGCGACTAATTATTTTGTCTAATTGTAAAATAATTTGGTCGAAGCATATTACCTTTTTTACGCTTTATGGGAAAATTTTCAATATTTTTATTAACTGAAACTTCGAATCAACAATCTGGTTATCCAACACCTATTTTAAACCACTGCATAAAATGTTATACAGTCTCAAAAAGAACTCAGAGTGTCTCTGAATTTTGAAAATTAAATACATAAGATAATTATAAACCACTCACCCTGCTGTTTGCTGGTTTGTTCTCAAAAGTACTTTTACATCATTATGGATCTGTTTGACTCTTCCCAATGCCTTGAAAAAGTCCTTTAAAATTAAAAATGTAACTTTAAAATTGTTCATGTTTTCAGGTTCCATCATAATACTCTAAAATATTACTACCAAGAAAAGACAAATTCTTTTACATACTAATGAAATAGTCCTATACTGATCATATTTCTCTAAATACTTATTGAAAGTATAAATATTTACTTGTGCTTGTGTGTACGTGTGTGTGTGCGCGCGAAGTGATCAAAGCAGGGTACCACACCAGGAAATTCATTTACTTAAATATTCAATTTTCACCAATATAAAGATTTGGAATTCAGGCCAGAGAGATAGCACAGTGAGTAGGGCACTTGCCTTGCATGCAGCTGGCTCTGGTTTGATCCCTGGCACCACATATGGTCCACTGAGACCAGCAGGAGTGATCCCTTAGAACCGAATTAGGAGTAAGCTCTGAGTAACAACAGGGGTGGGCCAAAACCCCAAAATTAACTAACTACAAAGTACAAAGTATAATGAGAAAGAAATACCAGCCAAAGAGAGCTATACATACTGTATTTTACATATATTATGACTTAATTAAACCACTGATGGTTTAATTATGGCTTTCTTATCACTGATGGCACTGTTCATATGCTTTTATATAATCATTCTTGACCCCTCATACAAAAATACAATACTAAGGTAAAGATACTCAGGGCATTTGCCTTGAGTGCGGTCGACCCAACAGACCCGGGTTCGATTCCTCCACCCCTCTCAGAGAGCCTGGAAGCTACTGAGAGTATCTTGCCTGCACAGCAAAGCCTGGCAAGCTACCCGTGATATATTCGATATGCCAAACACAGTAACAACAAAGTCTCACAATGGAGATGTTACTGGGCCCGTTAGAACAAATCGATGAATAACGGGAGGACAGTGACAGTGACAGTGACAGTGAAGGTAAAGATTCTTATTAGGCGAAAACTGATGCTGAAATCCAAGGTCTTTTTTCCTTCCTGAAAACATAATATTAGTTTCCAGAAAGAAATGGTGTGCCAATCATAAAAATAATAGATGTTATTTTAAAATAATAATAAACTCCTCTAGTACTGCTTAGCACTTCTGCCAAGAGGGAAAAAGGTGAGATGTCAAATATTTCATATATATAAAGCTCCTCAATTTATAAGGGCAGTATTAATAAGTAACGTCCTATCAATTTTCTAACCTATTTAACTCCCTATACCCAAGGGACAAATTCCATTCTAGCCTCCAAAGTAAACTGACATCTGTCAAGACACTCTAATGAGATCAGAACTGCTTCAAAAACTTTCCCTGCGCTCAAATGATGACAGCTAGTTAGTTGAGGTTTATACCAATACTCAGAAGACTGAACAATTTCTTTTTGAAAAGTCTGAATATCTCCAAGGGGAAAAAAATCACTTCTCCTTATTGTTTAGCATTCTCAAGTTTAGTTTTGCATTAGTGTGGGGGAAAACAATGGCATAGGTTAAGAGTTAATTCAGTGAAAGGACAAGAAATGTCTAAGTCTAGGAAAGAAAAAGGAAAACACGCAATTGCTGTACTGCTATTGTATGAAAATAAAAAATGCCATTTAACTATTATGGGGCTTATTTTTATTTTGTTTTTGGGTCACACCTGGTGGTGCTCAGGGCTGACTCCCGGCTCTGTGCTCAGGGATCACTCGCGTTGGTGTTCAGGGAACCACAAGGGGGTCAGGGATCAAACCCAAGTTGGACAAACAAGGCAAGTGCCCAACCCTCTGTGCTACCTCTGCAGTTCTTCAGGTTTGAGTGAAAGATAATCACGCATGTGGGAGAGGAAGGAAAATGTGAAGAAAAGTTAGATGCTCGTATTTCATGGAAGGATGTCAACGAAAACAGCACAGATCAAAGCACATTCTGTTAAACTACAGGGGTAGAATACGGAGAGTTCACAATAGAAACGATTAAAAAAAATTGAAAATAGTTGGCGAAGGACTTAAGAGATTGGAAAGAATGGAGGAAGTGGTATAGATTTTCTTTATAAGCCTTGTACTCTCTGACTTCTAAAACAATAAATAACCTGTATTGCTTATTTACTTATTTTCATTTGAGGGCCACACCTGGCTGTGATCAGATGCTACTCCAGGCTCTGGGAGGGGGGGTGCTCTCAGTGGCCCTTGGGGGATCCAGTGTCGTTGACGCCCCACTAGGCAAAGAATGCACACAGCCTGCACTGAGCTATTTCTTTAGTCCAAATTACTATTCTTTTTATTTTTTTATTTTTTGGAGTTTTGGCCACACCTACCTGTGTTCAGGGCTTACTCCTGGCTGCACTCAGGAATCACTCCTGGCAGTGCTCAAGGGATACAGGATGCTGGGAATTGAACCCGGGCTGGCCATGGGGCAGGCAAGTGCCTTCCCACTGTATTATCACTTCAGCCCCACAGTCCAGATTATTTTTTTTAGATATGAAAATAATATCTTTTAAAACAATCAGTCTGTAACTGCTACTTTAAATGACTTTAACCCAACAACATACCTCAGTAATAGGTCCTTCTCTCGTACCTCGGAGAAGACTCATTTCATCAGATGTTAGTTGGAACTTGGATAGGAAAGCATCTGCAACCTGCGCTCGGATTTCTAATTTTTGACTATAAAATTAAAAAATGACAACAAAAATCAAGCATGCTATGTACTTACATAGTTTTGCAACAACTTATACCTGGCAAACTAACATTTTAAAACAAAGGTGTGAAAATTTCTCAACATTCATATCTGACACGCTAGCATTTTAAAACAAAAATGCAAAATATCATCAACACTTTTGAAAGCTTATTTCTACCTGAACTATTGCAAGATCAAGCCGGAGAGTGAGTACAGCAGATAGGGCACTTCCCCCTAATGTAATCTCCAGCACAAAGTCAGGAGTCAGCCCTGAGCACTGCCAGGTGTGGCCCCAAACAAAACAATACTGCAAGATCATCAGTACTGTATGCGTAAAATTAGTTTATATAGTTCTATCTCAGACAGCTGGGCACAATAAAAGAAATTAATCATTATCCAAATAACTTCATTTGTGAAGCAAATAAAGTCACAAATGGTTTCTGCATTACAAACACTCAGTTACTTACATGTACTTAAATACGGCACCTTGCAATACAATCTGATTTTGTGAAAAAGAAATATGTCTATTTTCAATGAACTTTTTTTTTCAGCCCCCAAAACCCTTTGAAGTTTTTTTGCAAGAAATACATGTGATCCTTGAACAGTATGAACTGAGTCTGAATGCGGTGTTACTGATGCAGAATTTCTAGTGGGCAAAGTAGTATAAAAGTATTTTCTTTTATAATTTTAAGATTTTCTTTTCACTGGACCAGGGCTTTTTTGTTTTGTCATCTTTTTGTTCTGGGGACACACCCAGTGATGTTCACTGGTTACTCCTGGTGGTGCTCAGGGAACCTATGGGATGCCAGAGATCAAACTCCAGTCAGCTGCATGCAAGGCAAATGCCCTATCCGCTGTACTATTGCTCTTGCCCCTTAGACCAGGGCTTCTTAAACTCTACCACTCACTATTGATTTTCACCCCCCCAAAAAAAACTCAACACAGATAAGTGCTGTCTGTGAGATTCATTATACATCTGACTTTTAGTTCATTTCTGGTCACTGAATCTCCAGAAACCTTGCACTGCTGCCAGATCTTTTATGACATACCATCAGTATAAGAATATTAGAGTATTATAAGGGCACAGTACATAATACATATAACACCCCCCCCCAAAAAAGAGTGCTAATCAACTGTAATATCATTGTAAAGCGTCTGGTTAATATCTGACTATCAGTAGTTAAGTTTCTGGAGAGTTAAACGGGTTTCATAGATTTCTGGCTTCATAGTGAGGGACAGGGTTAGTTCGCCTACTTCTCACATTTATTCCAGGGTATACAATATAACCAAACATCCATTTCTATCCCAACTATAATGTCACTTCACTTTTGCTGCATAATGGAGTAATAAATCTTTTAAATGACATGAATGCGACTGATCCAAACTAGATGGTGAGTAGGAAAAGGTGCACTTGGTCTGGAATGCATCTTTCCAGGGCCGGGCACATAGAGCAGGCTCAGCATCACACACATGGTAAATCTAAGAAATGGGACTCTCTGAGCAGAAGTTCCATAATCCTGACATCTAGGTCCTAGAGTTGACCTACATAAGTCAAACTGTCTTCTACTTATGCTACTGAGTGTGGAGTAATACTTGACAATCTAAAAACAGTCAAGTGAGAGTGATCAAATGTAAGCATTAATGCTATTTTTAGAGACCAGGAATGTATTTTTCATCTTTTATGGTTTGTACTCAAAGGCAGTGATTTTAAATTTATAGTCAAATGCTCTTACTAAATAAAACAGAAAGGTAGAAAAGAGAAGTCCTCCAGGGGGCAGTAAAGTTCTATGGAACTCAAATTGTAACATTAAATCATTTCATTGAATTTATACAGGCTAATGAAGTGTTCTTCACCATTTTACTGACATTTAAATGATGTCTATGTGAGCTTTGCCTTATACTTTTCTATAAGGCTTAAGGAATCGTTACCACATAGATTTTAAAGAAATTTTAAAAATTTCTTTAGACAATACAAATTAACCATTTCAACTAATATCTTTTCCTCAGTTAATAGTTTCAACACAAAAGACAATTAATCTCTTTATATTTTCATTTTATTTTAACCAAATCTAGTCACCTGTCTTAATCAAACCTTTAAATTATTAAAATTTAGTCCAAATAGTGGCTGACTATACAGATTTAGTCCAAAAAACAGATTTAACAATTGGCTCTGTTAAAACAAGGATTTTACATCTCAAAATAACAATTTTCAAAGTAGTGACAATAAATTCTGATATATCTTTACAATATTTTATCTTTTTTAATTAATCGTATTTTTTTTGTTTTGTTTGGGGCCACACTCAACAATGCTCAAGGCTAACTCCTAGCTCGGAGCTCAGGGATCACTCCTGGTAGTGCTTAGGGGACCATATGGGATGCCAGGATCCAAGTTGTCATTCCAGCCCCTTTACTAATCTTGTTCTTTAAGTTTTGCCATATATATTTTTTCTGGAGGAGGCAGGAGTCTGTGCCACATTCGCAGTACTCAGAGACCATTTCCAGATTCATGCCAGAGACTTCTGCAGATAATAATCAGGTAAAGGGGCTGGGGAGTGATAGCAGAGAAGGTACAGCGTTTGCCTTGCACGTGGCTGACCTGGGTTCGATTTCCAGCATCCCGTATGGCCCCCCAAGCACTACCAGGAGTAATTCCTGAGTGCAGAGTCAGAAGTAATCCCTGTGCATCGCTGGGTGTGACCCGAAAAGCAAAAACAAAATAAATAAATAAATAAAATTCTCTTGTCCACAAATTAAGAAAAAAAAAAAGGTGGGAGGTAATACTTTATAGGATCGAAGGAGATAGTACAGAGGCAGGGCACTTGCCTTGCACATGGCAAACGAAGATCCTACCCCCAGCACCTTAAATGGTCCCCAAATCCGCCAGGGGTGATCCCTGAGTACAGCGACAGGAGTAAGTCCTGACCACTGCTGGACGTGGCCCCCCAAAAAACAAACACACACACAAAAACCAGAAAAGATGAGAAAGTAAATAATACAGCTGAAGGAAGTAATACTCATTATACACCAACTACAGTCCAAGTTTCCAAGTCCAAGTTACACTAAAACCAATGTAGAAACAAGACATGTTACACTGCCGGGGCTTTTTGTTTGTTTGTTTGTTTGTTTGTTTTGTGGGTTTTTCTGACAAAGAAAGAACTGGGTCCCCATGAGTTAACACTCCCTGACGTTATGTCAGGTAGTGGCCCAGCATCTATGTAAGCCATTGAATCTGCACAACCCCGTGGCAAACATAAAATTCCTTTTTTCAAATGTGACATTTACAGCTGAGGAGGCTAAGAAATAACTACCAAAAGACTCCAAGAAGCGTTTTCTTAGCGATTTAGATTAGAATTCTCTCTCTTCCCCCCCCTCTCTGACACACACACACACACACACACACACACACACACACACACAAATTTGCCTTTAAAAATCTGATCCTTTCAACTGTAACCGACCGTACCTCAAAAAGAAACAGTCATCAGCATGTATTTTCTCTGAATCCAGACAACAGAGTTAATATATTCAGGCTGGAGACAATAAAATATATCATGAATAGTGATGAATAGTGATTTTTAGTAGTTTTGAAAAGGGTTTAACAGATTCGTGTGTATTAAGTCTCTTTGGATCAGCAATGAAATCCATTTCCTACCAGTGAAAGGTGAGGGGAAATGCTGAATTGCAGCTCTGTGAAGGCTGTTCCATAGCAAGCTCTACCTATTAGAACATCAACTGTCAAGATGCTTGACTGCCTGCTAAACCAGCTGAAAAAGAAATTTCTATCGTTTGTACGTCTGTCTGAAAGAGTATCATGTGATCAAAATAGCTCACTGAAGTTCCACTTCTAAAGCTAATTGCTTATTTTCAACTTTTTTCGATAAAAAAGAAGAGATAATATTTAAAAACAGAAAGCAAACTCTGCCATCTCCCCGGAGCCTGTTTGCATAATCTGCTATGTAATTGTCCTAAAATACACACACAAATGTTCACTTGGCAGAACAGATCTATAGCTCTTGACATACTAGAATGGCACATATTTTTACTTCCCAAATGCATGCCAGGTCAAACATTTTCATAGTTTTCTAGAGCAAAATACATAAACAAGCTTATTTAATTGGCTTTAAGAATATACAAATTAGAAGCACACTTTTTTCTGCTTCCTGTTGATAACAACCAGCATTCCATATATACATGTATATCCTCCATATGTATATTCCACGAATATACATATCTACGTCACAAGTTCAAACAATATTTTTTTTGTTTTTATTTTACTGCTCCAACATTAGCATAGATATATTTCACATGCACTCGCTCAAAAATTAAGTATTGAATCTATGGTGTGTAATGCACTCGAGATACAATAACAAGAAACGTTTTGATGTCAAATTCACAGTTGTGTAAAAAGACATGATGAAACTAACAATTATAAGAGACTGCAGCCCTGAACACACACTACAATAAAGAGGACAACAGACCTGATTTAAACCAAAAACATTTTAAAATAAGCTTCGTAGACAGTATTGTTGATCTGCCATACCTCATTTCCAAATTTCAACTGAATTCTGTGTGTGCATCTGTGTGTGTGTGTGCGTGTGTGATTGTGTGTTGTGAACTAACATTACTTAAGAAAAACAAAATTGTTGTAGTTCTCTAACTGAAATTTCACTTACCAGAAAACCTTTCCTTCAAGGAGCACTCATGATACTATAAAACATTCTAACTTTCTAAGGCACGGGCTGATTTCTAAATATGGAAATTCAGCAACTGCCTTTCTTTTCACTGTAGTCTCTCCACCAATAAAGGGGGTTTTTGCAGTGATGAACTGTTCTGCTTCTTGACTCTAGTAGGTGCATACAAGAATCTACGCATAGTAACACTTGTAAAGGAATGTATTCAGGAGTATTAAAAAAAAGGGGGGAAATGTAAGTTTAGTACACTGAATCAGTGACATTAGTCTAGTCATGATAATCTACCACACAGTTTTATAAAACGTTATTATTAGAGAAAACTGGGTAATGGATACAAGCAATCACTTATATTTCTTACAAGTGCATGTGAGTCTGCAATCGATTCAAAATAAAATTATTTTGTTTTGAAGATGAGAATTTTTTCAAAGCTCAGAAGTTGGGGAATGAGGGAACTGGAACAGTAGAGCAAGTAGGGTGTTTGCCTCAAACACAGTTGGCCTGGGTTTGATCTCTGGCATCTCAGATGGTCCCCAGAGCCCTGCCAGGAGTAATTCCTGAATACAGAAATTGGAATAAACCCTGAGCATCACTGGGTGTGATCCAAACAGCAAAAAAATAAGTTAGGGAATGAGAATTATGATGGGACTAGAATAGAATATCTCTTAAAAAGAAAAAAAGATAAAAATAATATTTGGGCAATGTTTTTCAAATTATGATCTCTAGTACACACATAGGGTAATACCTGAGTTTCTGTAGAGAATTCAAATCAAGCTACTGTTAGAATCAGAAAACACAACTTCTCCAGATGTGGCTCAGAGACACATGTGTACAGTCTGGAGTTGATGTATGGCAGTGAAAATAATCTAAACAGAAAATACTATTTTCTGGGCATTATAATCAGAATCTCTAACGATAAAGGTCAGAACTTTCCATTTTAGCAAGATCTCAGGTTTCTCTTATGTTCTCTACAACAAGGTAGAAAGAACTGGAGGAACAGTAGTACTCTGAGGTAAAAATAAAATTAAAAGTGGAATAAAATCAAATGGTCCCAAATAACACCTAACATCAAAGTAAATATTTCCAGCAATAGAAAATATCATTTAGAGTAACTGTCCAAGTTGCTGTGAAGAATTCTGGCATATGATGAGCCAAAATTTTCCACTGCTAAATTTCTCCTTTGGAATTTCCAGATTCAGCAGCAATAAAGAATAAATCTAGCCTTATAAAAATGTAACAGATCATTAAATATATGAAGAGACTGATCACATATCTCTTAAATACATGCTACTTCCTGTTTTTCAACTCTATGCCATTTTGAGGGACTCTCGTTTTCATCAGCTTCTTGTAGATATCCCTTAAAAGCTTAGTTCAGTTAAGGATATCTTTCTTACATGGATCCTCTGTACTCTGTGTCAATCATAATTTTTTTCAATTATTTTCTCTCAAGTCTTTAAATGTTTTAAAATAAAATTTTAGAAAAAGAATCAGAAACAGTAGGTCCTGAAAAAGTACTGGAAACCTACCTAGAGATGAACCTCACTAAATAAACATCAACAGGGGTGGCAAGGGTGGTGGTGAGGATGTGAAATAACTATTTCTCCAGTTAGAGAACAAAACTAAACTATAATACCAATCTAAAAAGATGTTTTAGGATCAGATCATCTAATTTAAATTTCCAACTAATAACTTTGAGAAAGACACTGAAAGTGCATGAGAAAGACACTCGGTGCATCACAGTGGCATGCTTTTTTCCCCTCTCATTACTAATCCAGAACGTAAGAAACTCAGTGACTGAGTTTCAGCGTAACATTCCATATATTACACAAATCCAGTCTACTCAACCTTAACCCACATATTCATTTGGTCAACAAATGTTATAACTATTTGCAAGCTATAACTGGAAGAATTTTAGAGTCGATACACAAGTAGACTAGGGAGAATTCTTCAGTTAAAATCATAAAGTTACTAAAAATATGAAGACATCTATGTTTTTAAAAGAATCCCTGGAGCTGGAGACAGAGAGTGAGTAAGACACCTCCTTTCCACACGTCCAACTTGGATTCAATCTCTGTACCACACATGGCCCCCTGAGACTTCCAGGAGTGATTCCAGAGAGCAGAGCCAGGAGTAAGCATAGCCAGCAGTGGTCCCAAAACCAAAAGTGAAAAAAAAATAAATAAAAGGAATCCTTTCTTTAAAAAATTGGTTTTGGCCTGCACTTTATGGTGTGCTGGGCTTACTCCCGGCTCCATGCTCGGAGATCACTCCTGGTGGGATTCAGAGACCATATGTGGTGCCAGAGATCATACCACACACAAGGCAAGTTCCCTACCCATAGTAATATCACTCTAGCCCCCAAAAATTCATTTTTTAACTTGGTAGCAAATAACATTATCTCCAAAGAAGGAACAGTCTCTCAAATCCAATATCAAATTTACTGTAACTAAAGTATTGTTATGTTTATTTGACTCTTGCATAAAATTTCAGATCCTTATATGTTGTTTTAGTTCAGAATCATAGTTTTATTATTTAATTGTAACACTGATTTGCAGTTAACATTTTTGGTACTTCTTGTTCAAATTAATGAAGAAGTAGCTATAAAAAGAAAAAAACTTATCAAGAAGGAAAGTTTCTGCCCTTGAGGCAGGGGGGTTGGATGGGGGTGGCAGGAGGAATATTGGGGACATTGATGGTAGAAAATGTACACTGGTGAAATGATGGGTGTTCGATCACTGTATGACTGAAACTCAATCATGAAAACTTGGTAACTGTATCTCATGGTGATTCAATAAATTTAAAAAAAAAAAAGAAAGAAAAAACTTACCTTAGTGCTTGAAGTTTAGTGGTTTTTACTATTAAATCCTGAGTCTGTTCCTTTGCAGCCTAAATAATAAACATATTTAATATAAGTACATTTCAATTTTATCATACATCAGCAAATGAGTAACCCCACTGACTAAAAAGCAGGTTTATAAAAAATGTTTTCCTTTTATGTCACTAGTACATAAAAACAGTATATGCATGTGTGTACACACACGCACAAACACATAAATTTTGTTTTTTTGGGGGGCCACTCTTGGTAATGCCTTGGAGAACCATGAGGTACCAGAGACTGAAATTTGTGCAAGGCAAATGCCAAATGTAACCCTTGTATTATGTTTCCATCCTAAAAATAGTAGGAAATTTTGTTTGTTTTTTTGTTTTGTTTTTAGTTGTTTGCCTACACCCAGTAGTGCTCAGACCTTACTCCTCTTTCTGCTCTCAGGGATCATTCCTGGCAGGCTTAGAGGAACACAGGGGTGCATTGGATGGAATCCGGATTAGGCAAGTGCTCTACTTGCTGTACTATCACCTGGAGCAAAGCAGATATTTTTAAGAAAATATATTACAACCCGGCAAGCTACCGAGAGTTATCTCGCCCGCACGCCAGAGCCTGGCAAGCTACCCGTGACGTACTCGATATGCCAAACACAGTAACAACAAGTCTCATGATGGAGACATACTGGGTCCGCTCGAGCAAATCGATGAACAATGGGAGGACAGTGACATATTACAACCTAGATCATTCAGACCAACTACTACCTTTTAAGGAATGGAACTGAACGTGATGATTTCATGGTAGCTTTTTAAAGTACTGCTTTTTAAATACAGTAACTTCCTTATAGGCTTATCTTTCCTGCTGTCATTTTGCTTTAAAAATCCACTTTACCTTTACTCTCTCCTGAATCATTTTGAAAAAATGTATGGTACTTTTTTATTTTATTTATTTACTTATTTTGCTTTTTGGGTCACATCCAGCGATGCACAGGGGTTACTCCCGGCTTATGCACTCAGAAATTACTCCTGGCGGTGCTCAGGGGACCAGATGGGATGCTGGGAATCGAACCCAGGTCGGCCGTGTGCAAGGTAAACGCCCTACCCGCTGTGCTAACGCTTTAGCCCCAGTACTTTTTCATTTTAAAAAGGCATTTACACTTTAATATTTGTAAAAAATAATGCTGGGGCTGGAATGATGGAACAGGGGGCTAAAGTAAATGCCTTGGATACAGCAAACCCTGGTTTGATCCCCAGCACCACTGGGCCAAAGCAGCACCACATTCATGGTACAAGACACTGGATGGAAAACAGCAGAAATGAGGGGTGAGAAGTACAGAGGAGAGTGTCATAAAAAGAAGACGACAAAGTATATGATGACATACTGGGATTTAAAATCCTTATAAACAGTTTTGAAAATAACATCAAGAATAAAAACTTGGGACTAGAGCAATAGCACTGCTGGTAGGGCATTTGTCTTGCACATGGTCAATCCGGGTTCAATTCCCAGCATCCCATATGGTCCTCCAAGCACTGCTAGGAGTATTACCTAAGTAATACTCCTGGCCAGGAGTCACCCCTGTTCATTGCAAGGTGTGACCCAAAAAGCAAAAAAAAAAAAAAAAAAAAAAAAAAAAAAAAAACTTCGGGGGGCCAGAGAAATAGTACAGTGACTTAGTGACTAGGGTGTTTGCCTTGCATGCAGTCAATCCAGGTTCGATCCTCCATACCCCCCAAATGGTACCCCAAGTCTGCCAGGAATGATCTCCAAGCATAGAGCCAAGATTAAGCCCTGAGCGGTAGTGGGTGTGACCCAAAAATACTAAAAAAAAAATTTTTTTAAAGAATAAAACCTTTAAATTTTTACACATAAATATAGGTGTGGCAAAAAAGTAGAAATGAAAGGATAAGAACCAGAAAAATAGAGGAACTAATATTAAAACAAGAAAAGGAGAATTAAACCTAATATAAAAATATAAAATACTATAAAAATACATGAGTATAAAATAGAAAAATTTTTATAAAGTTTGAGAAAAGGCATTGCATCATGATAGAAAAGAAAAATTTAAAGACAGTGAAAATCAATCAAATGAAACAAAAGTAATACATATGAAACAAAAGTAATACATATGAAATTATGTGAAGTGGCAATAATTAGTAAAGGCTACATGGTTAAATACTGTGAAATTAAGAAAAACCTAAAGACTATATATTTCAATAATATGTGACATACTAGTAGAACATGAAAATTTAGACAAGGCTACAAAAGTTAAAATTTTATGGAAAATAGAAACTGGCTATTTCTATAGAGAAATCATGCAAGTGGCCTGCAGTCTACTGATTAGATCAATAATTCACCAGAGTCACTGCAACTATCAATAATTCCAGAAGAATCTTAGTTCTATATATTTGGAAAAAGAATGTGAAAGAAATAGACCTAAGTATGACTGACTCCTAGGTGAAATGTTCCCAGGATTTGCTTCCAAAAATATCTAAATGAAGATAAATACATAAAATACTACTTCTGCAGTCAAACTAGAGGTTAACAGTCTTAATAGAGCCTGCAAACTTTAACAAACAGACCTCAAATTAAAAGGTTCAAGCATGACTCATAATCCAAGCTGGGTCTTTACCAGGCATCTTTTTGGTGTAGACTTAGCTTATGTTTTTTCACAAAGGAATTTAGTTCTGCGGGACAAACACTGGACTCAAAGGACTTATCAAAGTTCTACGGTTAGGTCTGTATTCACTAAATCAAAATCTAAAAACTTCTGAAGTTAACAGAACAATATTAGTTAACAATTACCCAAAGAAAAACGAGGCTATTTAGAGTAAAAAAAAAAGCATAATATCTATATTTGAACTTCTTATAGGATATTACATTTCCACATATCTTACACACTTATCTAGCAACGTTCGAAAGTTAACTCTATACCAAGAATTAAGCTTAAGCTGTCATATACAGAACCTGTAGGCGACTTGTCATATCTTGACAACAGCTGTTCATTGCCTGAACATCTTCACTTATGCTTTCAAGTTCCTGAAAAGGAAAAAAGCAACACTCAGCATTCAACATTTTGTTAAAGAAGTTTAGCTTCTGTTAATCAAATCTTGATTTCTGTTCTATGATTTGATTCTCTGCCAAAGCAGATCAAAAGATACCACATTTATTCATATATTTGAGGGGAAGCTCCCAAATGGTGCTTCATAGGGCTGGCAGTCCCTCTTTGCAGTGCTGGTAATTCAATACAAGGGCCCATGATTACAATGATGCTCAGGCCCAGGGGCACTGGGTAATACCCTGGCTATCCCAGCAAGGCTCCAGGGGCCTCCAAGGCTGCACCTAGTGATGCTTGGCGACCATTTACAGTGTCAGGGATCAAACCAGTCAGCAGCATGCAAGGCATGTATCTCAACCCCTGTGCTATCTCTCCAGCCTCAAGCTGCCATATTTAAAACTGGAAATGATTAAGAAAGAATGTCTGGGGCTGGAGAGATAGCACAGTGGGTAGGGCGTTTGCTTTGCACGCAGCCAACATGACTGACACAGGTTCGATTCCCAGCACCCCATATGGTCCCCTGAGCACCGCCAGGAGCAATTCCTGAGTGCATGAGCCAGGAGTAACCCCTGAGCATCACCGGGGTGTTACCCAAAAAGCAAAAAAAAAAAAGAAAAAAAAGAATGCCTACTATTTAAAAAGCTATAAAGAAAATAGTAAATCATTTTAGAAGGCATGAAAAATCAGGAAAAAAATGCATTAAAATGCATAAAATGTTGGGGACCAGAGAAATAGTACAGGGTTAAGGCATTTGCACATATTCAAGCCTGATTCCATCACTGGAACCAGATATGGTCCCGAGCACAAAAGAGTGACACCAAGCAGCACAGAACTGGGGGCTGCCACTGACCACTGCCAGGTGTGGCCCTCAACCAAAATATCATGACAATAACAAAAAATATTTAAATAAAAGTATTAATGTTTGGGGCTTAGAATATGGCTTAGGGGCAACACTAGTCTCATATGTGTGATGCTCTGGGTTTGATGTTCAGTATACCACATGGTCTACTGGCATAAACACTGCCAGGGGGGACCCCATAGCATTGAGCCATGTATGCCCCCCCAAAAAATTTTTTTTTAAATTATCTTTGGGTTAAGGAGATAGCACAGTGACTAGAGAACACAACTTGTGGAATTCTAGCTCTGGAACTACAAGTTGCCCCTCCAATACATAAAGCTGTAGCCCTGATAACCCTGAGCACTGTAGGAACACTGTGACCAGGTATAGCCAGCAGTGACACCAAGATCTCTGAGCACTGCTTGAGAGGTAACCCCTTCAAAAAAAAATTAATTTGTTTAGGAATTCTAATACTAAGAATGTACCCTAAGGAATTAATCAGATACCTATGCAACAAGTGTTTAAGAGAATGATCAACACAAGTGGCGTAAAATCAATGACAAATACGAAATACTGTCAACCACACAATGGAAATATGCAAAAATTAACAATGGGAATGTATGTTTGTGCATCTGCATGTATACACGTGTGTATAATATACACGTGTGTATAAATACATTTGTTGGTGTGAAAAGTTAAGTATACAGTTAAAAATTAATTATAAAGCAATACATAAAATACTATCTCACTTTTTACATTAGGAGCACAAGGCCACTCCCAGCATTGTTCTGACTATGGGCCTGAAAGCTTGGTTGCAATACCTTCCCATTTTCTAGAAAGTGTGTGTGTGTGTGTGTGTGTGTGTGTGTGTGTGTAAATCATAGAAAAGATGATAGAATAAAATACTGACCATATCTATTTCTGAGTAATAGGATCATAAGTATTTGTCCTACTTATGGTCTTATTATCTAACTTTTCTATAATGATTTATCATTTCCCGGGTTCGATTCCTCCACCCCTCTTGGAGAGCCCGGCAAGCGGGTATCTTGCCTGCATGGCAAAGCCTGGCAAGCTACCTGTAATGTATTTGATATGCCAAAAACAGTAACAAGGAGTCTCATAATGGAGACGTTACTGGTGCCCGCTTGAGCAAATAAAAACAGAAACTATAGAATCCTTTATCTTTATGAAATACTGACAGGCTGGAATGTGCCTTAAGTGGATAAAGTACAGACCCCACATGTGTGATTTTCAAGCATCATTCCCCAGCATCTTAGGTGTGGCCACAATGGACACTGATTCCTGTCAGCATATTAGAACCCGAAGCATTGGCAGACATCGCCCTGCCCAATAACAAAAAAATGAAATATTCTGAATTATAAAAATCCTAGTACTAGATATTTTCAAATGTCCTCTCTGTTTTGTCATAGGTGTAATCAAACTATTTAAGCAGCTTTGAAGTGCAAAGTAAAGGAAGCTTATTTCCAAAATATCAATATTATCTATAGCTAACCTATAAACTAATCTCATCTTTCCCTTAAACCTCACTCTTCAATCTAGGGAGTATAGCATTATCTGTGTCTGACCGAGATGAGAAGACATCAATCACATCACGCTGTTTTTGACGCTGGAGAAAAACTGTTCCTCAGAACATGCGACAAAAGAGGCGTCAGTGGTGTCAGTGTTCTTGTCAATACAAACTTGGCCATGAGTATTGATTCATTCGAATGTCTAACCCAAATCTGATGATTACACTTGAATAGATGTGGCTCAATGCCAGCAGTTTCTATCTTCATTGTCTACACACCAACATCCAATTATAATGAAGGAGAAATTGAAAAGTTCTACATGGAGCTGGAGAAGTTCTATAAAGAAGACCACACCTTCTAAAGATCACTTAATGATTTTAATGCCAAGATAGGATGGAGAAGGTCAGCCAATGAACTCCACATCAGGACCCATGGCCTAGAATAGAGCTAACAGAGTGAGAGACTCTCTGAGTTCATCATGTCAACCAAGACCATCCATCGTAATTCACAGTTACAGAAGGCTGAATCTAAATGTTGGACATGAGAGTCTCCCGGTGAACAGTTCCACAACGAAAATGATCACGTCATATTCAGTGATCTCCCGGTGGATGGTTCACAGTGAAACTCACCACATCATATTCAATTGACAGTTTTGCCTGATGGATGTCGCAGTTGTTCCAAAATTCCAAATAGGATCAGACCACTGTCTCCTTCGTGCAAAATTCTACTTCACAGAACAGGGAGAAAGGGCTGCAAAGTTTAAGAGAACTCCCAGAAAGAACACCAACTGAGAGCTCTTTGGCACTATTGCGGCAACATAGGAAGATGCCATCAATACAATTGACTGTTTCAGCACCTCCATGATTGTGTGAGGAACTCTGAGAGAGAAAGCCACAAAAAAACACCTGTCTTCAAAAACTCTTGAGCTCATTCACCAACATGGCTTGGGGCAAGCCTCAGGCAACCACAAGCGAATGTCCGAGCTCGCAAAGCAGCGCACAGAAGCAGTCAAGGAAGACCTCAAAGAGAGAAGAACAGCAGTGCTGGCAGATGCGGCAGAAGCCGGGAAAAGTATTCGCAATGCCCGCCTGTCCTTCGCCAACTACAAGACCAAGTTGGCTGCCCTTCGACATCCTGATGGATCTATCACATCTTCCAGAAGGGCAATGGACAAGATTATCCATGACTTCTACTCAGAGCTCTTCGACAGCCACACCCACCTGCCCACATACCAAATTCCACAGGATGGATATATCATTCCCAACATTCTCCCTTCTGAAATCTGACACGCCATTTCATTGGTAAGGAAGCGAACAGCACCCAGCCCAGACAAGGTCAAAACCGAACACCTGAAGAACCTGTTGTCAGTACTCATCAATACACTGCCTCAGCTCTTCACACATTACCTGTCTGAATGCAAGGTTCCATCCCAATGGAAAACCAGCAGGACTGTTCTACTGTACAAGAAGGGAGACATCATGACATTGACAACTATCACCCCATTTGCCTGTTGTCCGTCGTCTACAAGCTGTTCACTCAAGTCATCCTGAATAGGATTGGCAGAACACTAGATGAAGTACAACCATGCGACCAAACTGGGTTCCAAAAAGGATTCAGCACAATCGACCATATTCACATGATAACCAAGCTCATTGAGGTTTCTCAGGAGTTCAAGATGTCGAACATGTCTAACGTTGGCCTTTGATTCGGTTGAGACAGAAGTGGTCATTGAAGACCTAGCCACACAGGGCATTCAAACTCAGTACATCAGGATCCTCCGTGAGCTTTATTACGAATTCACTACCAGAATATCACCATTCTACAAGGAAGTGATCATCCATGTCAAGAGAGGGGTTCGGCAGGGTGATACCATTTTACCAAAACTCTTCAGTGCCACCCTCGAGTATGTCATACGATGACTGGAATGGGAAGGAATGGGAGTGAAAATAGATGGTCAACAACTACACCACCTCTGCTTTGCTGATGACATTGTTCTAATAACACCAAATATTAGTCAAGCGGCACAAATGCTGGCCGACTTTGACCGTGAATGTGGAAAGGTCGGTCTATAGCTGAATCTCATGAAGACAATGTTTATGAGAAACAGTCTCATTCCTGACGTTCCATTCGCTCTCAATGGAACGAACATCTCCGAATGCAACCGTTATGTGTACCTAGGTTGAGAAGTCAACATGACGAATGACCTGGCACCTGAGTTGTGCAGGAGGAAGAGAGCGGCTTGGAACAAGAGCATCAAAGAAATAGCTAAGAGGATGAAGAACCTCCGGCTCCGGGCACATCTCTTTGATTCCACTGTTTTTCCTGCATTAACATATGCTTCAGAAATCTGGGCCCTACAAAAGCAGGATGAGAACACTATTTGGATCTCTCAAAGAGGAATCGAAAGAGCTATTCTTGGAGTACCACACTTCACTCAAGTGAGAGAAAGAATCAGGAGTTCTGACCTCTGTCCACAATCAAGAATCAGGGACACTATCTCGTTTGCCAAGGCGTCAAAAATCAGATGGGCTGGACACGTAATGAGATTTGAAGATGACCGCTGGACTAGAGCCATTATCAACTGGATTCCACAGGATGTCAAAAGATCACATGGCTGCCCATCTACAAGATGGTCAGACTTCTTTGTCAAGACCCTGAACCATCGGTTTGAGGCTCTTCACGTTCCTAGAATAAGTAGACGCCACTGGGCTACACTAGCATGTGACAGAGACAAATGGAGATGTTAGTGGCACCCACCTGAGCAAATCAATGAGTAACAGGATGTCAAGTGATCAAGTGATCAAGTCTTTAGGTCAAGAATAAGTACAAAAATGTGCTGGAGAGGTAGTAAAGCAGGTAGGGCTCTTGCTCTATGTTCAATCCCCAGCATCCAGGATGGTCCCTCCCAGGAGTGATCCCTGAGTTCAGAACCAGGAGTCACCCTTGAGCATCACCAGGTATGGCCCAGAAATGGGGAGGGGGGAAAAATAAAGAATAATATGCCGAATATTTGAATACTTACTTCAGCTACAGAGTATGCTCAATAGATTTGATTTTTAAAACAGAAATCATATATTGCGGTATTATATTACTAAAATTCAAAGATTTCCTAGATTATAGGTCAAGGGCCCTTATATTTCTTGGAAGAGCTAGTCTCAAAAACAGGGCAGTGGTGCTCAACTATCAGAGACGAACCAGTGCCCATCCATAGGTGCAAAAAGGTTGAAAACCACTGAGCTATCACAACTGTTACAACTACCAGTCCACAGACTGGTCCAGAGGTGTAAAAAGATTAAAGGATGCTAAAACAGAGTAAACCATCTTTTTTTTCCCCAATTAAAGAATTACTGGTACTGAAATAAAATTAGAATAAGGTAAACATTTAAAAATGTTTGTATATGGAGAATTTTCAAAATATGTCCAAAGGTGGTGGTCTGTCATGAATATGTCACCTGACTTCAACAATCATCAAGTCAGGAACGCTCTGCATGAAGAAACGGTTATTCATGGCTGAAGAGTAGTTTGGCACTGTCACTGGCAAGAATAATAATGTCAACCTAGTAGTACCTGGTAAATTATGATATATGCATTATTAAGGAACAAAAATTATTGATGTGGTGGTATTCTTAGGAGCTTCATGAAATCACAATGGGGTCGGAGAGGCAGCACAGTGGTTAGGGTGCTTGCCTAGCACAGCCCAGGCCTGATTCCCAGCATGACATACTCCTGGGTCCGCCAGGAGTGATCCCTGAGTATCGCCAGGACTGCCTCCCACCCTAAACCCCACTACAAAAAGTATGTGGTTCTTATGTGGTTCACACAACCAACATAAGTCTGATCTTCAGTACTGCATACAGTCCCCCAGACACCACCAAGACTGATCCCTGAGCAGAGGCCCAGGAGTAAGCTCTGAGCATTGCCTGGTGTGGGCCAATAACAAAAAAGAAAAGAGGAAAAAAGAACTTATGCTAATCCAAAGAAAAATCGATTTGCTTCTGCTAGTACATTTTCTGTGTGAGCAAGGCACAAGAGTAGCAAAGATATCAACCTAATTCATAAAAGTACTTACTAGTACAGAGCTGGACATACAGTAAGTTCAAATTAAATGTTAAAAGAGTTTACATACCTCCTTTACTTCCTTGAAAATGTTTACAAATTCCTCATTGATTGCTAAACTTCTCCGTTCAATATCTCCACGTAAATTTCTTCGAGTCCGCAAATTGTTTGTAGTGAAAAATACTGACAGTGCCTTGAGAGCTTCCAACATCTCCTGTACAAGTGACAAAAGAAGAAAATTGGTAATAATATTCAAACACTCTTTTTATTGAAAATCATAGCTTTCATTTTTAAACAATTTGCTTTAGTTAAATAACCAAAAAAAAAAAAATACTAGATGACCTTCACATTATTGAGTAATAAATTTATTTTCAAAGTCTAACACATATACTTTTACCTGTGTATTGTGCATATGCACATGGATACTCACTGAAGATTAGTTTGAAATAGGGAATAATCTTAACATCTATCTAAAGTAACTAGTTAAAGAAATTATGATATATTTTTTAAATCAAACCTGAAAATTCTTTATGAGCTCTGAGATACAGCTCACAAAACAATGTGGAAACCGTTATGATAACAACTACTTTAAAAAATACCAAATGTATTTTTAACTTATAAGTGGATAAACTATCTCTGGGAAGATACACATTAGAGAATAGTATACACTGGGCAACTTTCAGGTGAGGAAATATCTGGCTGGTTGCAGAACTCAGAGGAATCGAGACAGGAAGGCTTCTTGGTGGCGTCTTTTGAACTCAAGCCTGAATTGTAGGAAATTAACAACAACAGGCAAAGCTTTTCACAGGCAGAAGACAGAGAACAACAACTACTGCAGCAGAGTGGCACAGGGACTAAAGCTGTGGTAAACTACTAGAGGTTTTAAGGAAATGAGTAAGGTAACAGGCTTTATATTTTATAATGTATTCTGGGGCTGGAGCAATAGTACAGTGGTAGGGCACTTGGCTGGCAAATGGCTGACCAGGTTCAATCCTCAGTACCCCACATGGTCCCACACGTCCTGCCAGGAGTGATCCTTGAGTACAGAGTCAGTAGTAAGCTCTGAACACTGCCAGGTAGGTCTCTCCCAAACCAAAATAAATAATATAAAATAAATAAAAATACAGCACAGCGGGTAGGGTGTTCGCCTTACAAGCGGCCAACATGGCCAACCCGAGTTCGATTCCTCCGCCCCTCACGGAGAGCCCGGCAAGCTACCGAGAGTATTCGATATGCCAGACACAGTAACAACAAAGTCTCCAATGGAGATGTTACTGGGCCCGCTCGAGCAAATCGACGATCAACGGGAGGGCCTTTACCTTTACCTTTACCTTACAACTTGTTGGGAAGGATGGGTGGTAGAGGGAGATAAGAAAGGGAATAGGCAGAAAGAAATTAAATCCAAACAAGAAATGATAGAAATCTAGGCCATAACAGAAGCACTGGAAATGACAAGAAGTAACTGCTAAATGTATTTTTTCCAGGCAGGACCTACAGAATCTGTAAATGGATTGGATGTGTGGACCTACAGAATCTGTAAATGGATTGGATGTGTGGACCTACAGAATCTGTAAATGGGTTGGATGTGTGACCACAGGTCTCAAAAAATTGACACCCTCCAAAGTGACAGGGTTCAAAAAATACTTCTGTGCTTCCTGCTTGCTTGGGAAAGTGGTAATGTTCTCTACTTCCAGGCAAGCAGCAGCAGCTGGAGAGAAAACTAGCATTTTGGCCAGTGAAGTTTCCCTGACATCAACCAGTTATCCAACTAGAGTTGTCAAATTAGGTAAACACATCACTCAGTAAGGACATCAGGAACAGAATCAGGAAGTTGAGAATCCACACAACTTGGGGCTATTTAAGGTCAAGCAAGTGAGAGTTCTCTAGAGAGAAGAGATAGATACCTGAGAGAGGACAGAGGGGCAAAGTCTGGGGTGGCCAAAAGAACCCTCAATACTACGACTATGAAGTCCTATGCCTGAACTAGCAAATATTCTAACAGGCTTGCTTAATTTTCATACTCTTTTGAAATACTGATTGGTTGGGTTGACACAAATAGTAAGGCTATTTATAATCAGTTCAATATCTGACAGCAAAAAATAGCCTTGCACATTGGTTGAACTCTACAAGAAAAAAAAAATCCAATCCCATAAGAAAATGGAGTGATCAAATGAACAGAAACTTTCTCAAAGAAGAAATCTGAATGGCCAAAAGGCACATGAAAAACTGCTCAGCACTAAGCATCAGGGAGATGAAGATCAAAACAACAAAGAGATATCATCTCACACCAGAGACTGGCACACATCCTATAAAACAAAAGCAACCAGTAATGGCGTGGATGTGGGGAGAAAAGGACTCTCTTTCACTGTTGGTGGGAATGCCAACTGGTCCAGCCGTTTTGGAAAACAATATGGACGTTTCTCAAAAAAACTAGAAACTGAGCTCCCATTTGACCCAGCAATACCATTTCTGGGAATATACCCTAGGGGCCCCAAAATACAGCAGAAACAATCATCTGCACTTCTATGTTCATTGCAGCCCTATTCACCATACCCAGAATCTGGAAACAACCTAGGTGCCCAAGAACAGACGAATGGATTAAGAAACTATGGCACAGCTACACAATGGAATACTATGCAGCTGTTAGGAAAAATGAAGTCATGAACTTTACCTATAAATGAATATCATGCTGAATGAAATGAGTCAGTGACTCAGAAGGAGAGGGACAGATATAGAATGACTGCATTCATTTGTGGTATTATATATATATGCCCAAGCATATATATATATATATGAATAATATCCATGGCCAGGGAAAATGGGGCTCAGGAGGATAGGTCAATAGCTGGAACTAACCACAAGTATGTGTGGGGCTGAGGGTAGGTAAGACAGAGAAGAGAGAGCTATTATAATAATAGCTGGGAAAGATCAAGCTGGACAAGATCTGAGAGTTAAAAATAAAGGGATAGTCTTGATAACCTTTCATTATCAATATTGCAAACCACAATGCCCAAAAGGAGAGAGAGAGAGAGTGAGAGAGAAAGAGAGTGAGTGTGTGAGAGAGAGAGAGAGAGAGAGAGAGAGAGAGAGAGAGAGAAGAAAAGTGCCTGCCATACATACAGGCAGGCGGGGGTGGGGGTGGGGTGATGGACAGGAACCTGGTGACACCGATGTTGGGAAGTGTACACTGGTGGAGGGATGAGTGTTGTAACACTGTATGACTGAAATCCAATCATGAACAGCTTTGTAAGGGTCGATCTCACAGTGATTCAATTAAAAAAAAAGTTGTTTATAAAAAAATAGCCTTGCACCTCCAAATATTTATTGTACCCCCCCAAAAAAAAAGTCCCATTAAATAATGCTGTTTTCTTTTAATGAGAGCTCTGAAATATCTTAAGGTCTGGGATCAAAGTCGTCAGTACATGCTAAATCACAAAATAACACAGGACACAGGTACAAAATGTAGGTCCACATCTTTCTTATTTTATGACTTAAACTAATACCTTTTATTTCTCATGGTAATAACACCTCAAGAGATGTTAATTTACCAGAATAGCTGAGTTAAATGAGATAATGTTAATATTAGATACACTGAACACTATACTATACAGTGGCATTAAGGCACAGATCTAGAGACATAAGACAGTAGCAGACCTTGCACAGGCAGAACGGGGCTCCATCCTCAGAACTGTCTAGGGTTTCCCCCACAGCACCACCCTGAGCACAGAGCTAGGAATAATCTCTGAACAGCTCACAGTGCTTGTGACAATGGGTGGGAGCACATGAATGCATGCAATAGACCCTGGTTTTATTTCTGGCACTAGAAGGTCCTCAAGTACCACAGGGTGTGTCCCTGGAGGTTTCTGAATCTCAGGGAGGGTCGTCCTTGATTTCCTGGGCACCCCACCAGGGGGACGAAACTATGAAAACAAGGAACTTGCATTAGAAACACTAAGTGTTGGGATCTCATTGAACACCCAACAACAGGAAGAACATGAATAACACACCCAATTTTATAATGAGCCTCAGAGAAGTCAAAGGACACATCGATTTGGTGGCTGTATCTTAGAAATGATGGTCCTCAAACCTATCTTTCTTAATCATGAAATAATGGTACTTTTAGACACAAATTATTTTTCTTAAATTGAATCACTGTGAGATACAGTTACAAAGTTGCTCATGATTGAGTTTCAGCAGTCCCTTCACCAGTGTACACTTGCAGCCACCAAGGTTCCCCTTCTGTCTCCAGCCTTTCTCCCCCCTCCCCCTCCACCCCCTCCCTTTCCCTCCCTCTTTTTTGGGCATTATGGCTTGCAATACAGGTAACTGAAAGTTTATCATGTTCACATACCCGCAAATCTGTCTAACTTTCATTCTATGTATTATTTCCCTCCTTGTATGCTTCACTGACACGACCAACTTAGCCAGCGATTCAGAGATACAGAAGAGAGAACCCGTCCTTCATGCCCTACCGAGGTCAAGGTCACGAGTTGCCCCCCAAGAGTGGCTCTCTGGCACGGCCATAACACTAGACACACAGAAACCAATCTCCTAATTATCTGGCTCTTTGCAGAAATCCACAATCATCAAATGATTCTCATAACCAGTTATAGAAAACAAAGTATTTCACAATGCCTTTTCAGCAATTCTGATTGTTGGGGGCGGGGGGGGGGGATTCTAAACAATAATGGAGCATCTTTTGTCAAAACAATGAATGTAATCAATGTAGAGAAAAGTAGAAATCATCTGCCTTAGAGGAATTGGGAGGGGTGGGAGGGGGTATATTGGGGTTCTTGGTGGTGAAAAAATGAATACTGGTGATGGCAACGTGTTTGATCACTGTATGTCCGAGACTTAAACCTGAAAGCTTTGTAACTTTTCCCACAGTGATTCAATAAATAAATATAAGAAGGAAAAACAAATAAATAACATTATGAAGGAAAGAAAAAGTAAGGTGGAGTTCATGCCTAATTCAATCAGCTGATCAGTGGCTGAATTAATGGAGGAGTAGCAGTACTCCTACATAAAAAGAAGAAGAAGAAGGAGGAGGAGGAGGAGGAGGAGGAGGAGGAGGGAGGAGGAGGGGGGAGTAGGGGGGGAGGGGAGGGGAGGGGAGGGGAGGGGAGGGGGAGGAGGAGGAGGAAGAGGGAAGAAGGAGGGAGGAGGAGGAGGGAGGAGGGAGGAGGGAGGAGGGAGGAGGGAGGAGGAGGGGGAGGGGGAGGGGGGGAGGAGGAGGAGAAGAAGGAGGAGGGGGGAGGAGGAGGAGAAGAAGGAGGAGGGGGGGGGGAGGAGGAGGAGGAGGAGGAGGAGGAGGAGGAGGAGGAGGAGGAGGAGGAAGAGGGAACCCACCTCCAAGGACCCTGGAAAGTACAGCCGGTTCAGTTTCCCAGTAGTCCCAGAGAAAGGATGCCGGAGGGTTCAGCCCCTCTAGAAACTGCGTCCCCGCGAGTCCCAGGCAGCGCCTACCCACCCACCCAGCCGGGGCTCCTCGGTCTGTGCTCGAGCAGGCAGTCCCTTCTGCAAACGCTTTCCCTCTCGTCGGAGTGCAAACGCTCAGTGACGTGCCCTCCCGGGCCACCTACTCCGGCTCACCTGACTCCCGTCGCCCCAGCATGCCACACTCTCTTCCGTGCTAGAGTCCCATCTGCACGCTCAGATCCCAGCCCGGACAGCGGGGGGGGAGCGTGGGGAGAACGTTTTTAGGGGGGCTTCGAGGGTCGCCGCCCCGACTCGAGACTAAGGGGGACACACCACCACCACTGCTTTCCTGGGGCTCCTTGGTCATCCCCCTCCTCGCCCGCGCCCGGCAAGCAGTGGATCTCGGCGTCTGGGGTCCCCTCCGCGGGTGGCCCGAGGGACAAAGTGGGTGGCGCGACCCCGACAGGAGCGACGGACGCGGGACCCCCGGCCTGTCAACCCGGCGGGTTACCTTGTCGTTGTCCAGCCGCGTCTCCAGGATCTTCTGCAGCTTCCGCGACAGCGGGTTGTTGCTCTGCGTGGCATTTCCACTCGCCCCATTGCTCGGAGCATGGGCAGGGCCCGGGGTCGCGACCACCGCGACTTCCCCGCTGCCCTCTGCCATGGCCCCACGAGTCCCGCCCCCGCCCCAAGCCCCGGTGCAAACCTCCGCTCAGGATCCGGGATTCAGGACGGCGGGCAGACACTGCGCGTGCGCGGCCGACTGCGCCTGCGCCCTGGGGCTCGGAAGCGCCGCAACGCAGCCCCGCAGGATTCGTGGAAGTGGGCGGGGAAAGCCGGGGAGGTGTGGCCACACTGAACTGCCAAAGTGGTCTGCAATTTCCAGGCATATTTGGGCTCCAGTTATGAAGAACTTCAGAATCTTGAATCTATGCAAGTCTTCTCAAAGCATGAACAAACTACATGCTTTGTATGTTATTCAAATGCATTGAGAGTTGTTCCCGGCATAAAACTTGAAGTCTGATTCAGTTTACCTGATGTTTTAATTTTTTTTTCTCCTTCTATTTATTTATTGAATCACTGTGGGAAAAGTTACAAAGCTTTCAGGTTTAAGCCTCGGTCATACAATGATCAAACACCTTTCCCTTCACCAGTACTCATTTTTCACCACCAAGAACCTCAATATACCCCTTCCCACCCCTCCCAATGCCTGTGAGGCAGATGATTTCTGCTTAACTCTTCTCTACATTGATTACATTCATCATTTCGACAAAAGATGCACCATTATTGTTTAGAATTCCCCCCCCCCCCCAGCAATCAGAATTGCTGAAAAGGCATTGTGAAATACTTTTTCTATAGCTGGTATGAGAATCATATATCAAGGTCACGGTCCTGCCGTTGTTCATCGATTTGCTCGAGTGGGTCCAGTAACGTCTCCATTGTGACACTTGTTACTATGTTTGGCATATCGAATACATCACGGAGAGCTTGCCAGGCTCTGCCGTGCGGACGAGATACTCTCGGTAGCTTGCCAGGCTATCCAAGAGGGGCGGAGGAATCGAACTCGGGTCGGCCATGTTGGCCACTTGTAAGGCAAACGCCCTACCGCTGTGCTATCGCTCCAGCCCAAGAATCATATAATGTCATATAATGATTTTGGATTTCTGCAAAGAGCTAGATCATTACAAGATCGGTTTCTGTGCATCTGGTGTTATGGCTGTGCTGGAGAGCCACTCCTGGGGGGCTCTCACTGTCTTAGTAATAATAGTTTCCATCACTTAGCATCTAATTTTGTCGCGAATAATATCCAATGATAGACTATCTACTCTTATGGTCTTTTCTTTGTTTTTGTGCTACACCCTGTGATGCACAAGGGTTATTCCTGCACTCAGGAATTACTCCTGGCAGTACTTGGGGGGGACCATATAGAATGTCAGGGATTAAACCCTGCTTGGCTACAAGCAACACAAGCACCCTTACCACTGTACTATCTCTCAGTCCTTAAAAATGATATTTTAAGTCAACAATCTCCTGTTATAAACATGAAATTTTGTAGAGTACTTTTAGTTACTTTGTTTGTTTGTTTTAATTTCTGCATGGAGTAATACCTAATAGCTCCTCTTCTAGCTCTCCATTGGGAGACCATGTAGGTTGCCCTGATTGAACCAGGGTTGCCTTTGTGGAAGGCAAGTGCCTTACCTCTATACCATCCCCAGAAACCCATACTCTTATTATCTGCAACATGTTACCATGTGGATAATACTGTTATTGATGAGCAAGCCAAGACTGAAGAAAGTTTTCAAATAATACATAGTTAACCTCGACTTACTAGTGTAGGATAACATTGGTTTGTCCTTTCTGCCTTGCCACAGGGAGCTTAGGTTAATAAACCAATAGGGTTACTCCCATCACAGTGCTCCCATTCCTCTGTGTTTATTTGTAACCTCTTTGTTGCTCTGTTAACTTGTAAATATTCCTTTTCCCTTCTCCTTGAGTCCTTTGAATAGTTAATTCGGAGCAATGTCCTTTTTGTTTTGTATTTTCTTTTGTTTTGTTGAAATTACATAGCTTTTATTTGGAGGCTTGAAGGGAAGAGGGGAGAGAAAGCAGGAGGGACAGGAGAATAACATGCTGAATAGAGAATCCAGGCTTCTCCAAGGGCAGTAAGAGAGCCCCTATACACACCCCAGCATTAGACATGAAAGCATTAAAGTACACATCTCCAGAGGGGAGATGCGGGCCACAGTTGTGCTCAGGTGCCACATGTGCTTTGCCATATGGACGCAAGCAGCACATAGGCTCAGGCAGCATAAGTGTGCACAATGACCTTTTAGTACGGACACAGGAAGTCAGTTAATGCTCTGCTTTTGTAACTTGGGAATTAACTGACTCTGAATGATAATTCACTCTGGGGCATCTGTTCTCTCGACTTAAACCTCAGTTGCTCTGACTTTCTAGCACCCCAAAAGCATGGTCCTGATGAGGGACTGGATGGACCCAGGGTAAGCAGTAAGCTACCCTGGCATCGAAATTGGCCTGGCCAAAGTGCCATCACTTGATCACTTGACTTCCCGTTAATCGGCAATTTGCTCGAGCGGGCGCCAGTAACGTCTCCGTTTGTCCCTGTCGTGTGCTAGTGTAGCCCAATGGCATCTGTTCGTTCTACGAACGCAAAGAGCCTCAAACCGATCGTTCATGATCTTGATGAAGAAGTCTGACCATCTGGTAGGTAGGTGGGCGGCCACACAGTCTTTTGACATCCCATGAAATCCAGTCGGTAATGGCTTTAGTCCAGCGGTAGTCTCTAAATCTCATTACGTGACCAGCCCATCTGATTTTTGACGCCTTGGCAAATGAGACAGCATCCCTGATTCTTGATCGTCTAGGGAGGTTGGAACTCTGGATTCTTTCTCTCATTTGAGTGAAACGTGATGCTCCAAGCATAGCTCTTTCAATTCCTCTTTGGGAGACCCTAATAGCGTTCTCATCCTGTTTACATAGGGCCCAGGTCTCTGAGGCATATGTTAATACAGGAAGAACAGTGGAATCAAAGAGATGTGCCTGGAGCCGGAGGTTCTTTGTCCTCTTAGCTATTCCTTCGATGCTCTTGAAGGAGTTCCAAGTCGCTCTCTTCCTCCTGCGCAGCTCAGGTGCCAGGTCATTTGTCATATTTACTTCTCGACCCAGGTACACATAACTGTTGCATTCGGAGATGGTCATTCCATTGAGAGCAAAAGTCAGTTAATTGTGGTTAACATGGTTAACATGGTTCAGCACCTCCTTGATTGTGCGAGGAACGCAGAGAGAGATAGCCACAAAAAAAAGCCTGTCTTTAAAAACTCTTGAGCTCATTCGCCAACGTGGTTTGGCACATGTATCAGGCAACCACATGCGAACGTCGGAGCTCACAAAGCAGTGCAGAGATGCGATCAAGGAAGATCTCAAAGAGAGAAGAGCAGAAATGCTGGTAGATGTGGCAGAAGCCGGGAAAAGTATTCATAACGCCCACCTGTCCTTTGCCAAATACAAGACCAAGATGACTGCCCTCCGATGTCCTGATGGATCTATCACATCTTCCAGAAGAGCAATGGAGAAGATTATCCATGACTTCTACTCAAATCTCTTCGATAGTCATTCCACCTGCCGACATACCAAAGTCCACGGGATGGATATGTCGTTCCCAATGTTCTCCCTTCCGAAAGCCTACACGTCATTTCATCAGTAAAGAAACGAACAGCACCCGGCCCAGACAAGGTCAGACCTGAACACCTGAAGAACCTGCCATCAGTACTCATCAATACACTGGCTGGACTCTTCACATGCTACCTGTCTGAATGCAAGGTTTCGTCCCAATGGAAAACCAACAGGACTGTACTACTGTACAAGAAGGGAGACATCCATGACATTGGCAACTATTGCTCAATCTGCCTATTGTCTGTTATCTACAAGTTGGTCACTTGAGTCATCCTGAATAGGATTGGCAGAACACTAGATGAAGGACAACCATGAGAGCAAGCCAGGTTCCATAAAGGATTCAGCACCATCGACTATGTTCACACAATAACCAAGCTCATTGAGGTTTCTTGGGAGTTCAAGATGCTGCTCTGTCTAACGTTCATTGATTTAAAGAAGGCCTTTGATTCTGTTGAGACAGAAGTGGTCATTGAAGCCCTAGCCAATCAGGGCATTCAAGCCCGATACATCAGGATCCTCTGTGAGCTATATTAAGGATTCACTACCAGGATCTCACCATTCTACAAAGAAGTAATCATTGATGTCAAGAGAGGGGTTCGGCAGGGTGATACCATTTCACCGAAACTCTTCAGTGCCACCCTCGAGAACATCATGCGACGATTGGAATGGGAAGGAATGGGAGTGAATATAGGTGGTCGGCAACTACACCACCTCCGCTTTGCTGATGACATTGTTTTAATAACACCAAACATTAGCCAAGTGGCACCAATGCTGGCCGACTTCGACCGTGAGTGTGGAAAGGTCGGACTACAGCTGAATCTTACAAAGACAATGTTTATGAGAAACAGCCTCATTCCTGACGCTCCATTTGCTCTCAACAGAACAACCATCTCCAAAGTGCCATGATACTTAACTATAAGTTAAGAACATGGTCATGGACAAATTCTGTCATGATCCAAAAAGCAATAACTTGATTTAGAACCCGTTATGATATGCTCGAGCACTGTCCTTACACTGGTCATCTATTTGCTCAAGCGGGCCCAGTAATGTCTCCACTGTGAGACTTGTTGTTACTGTGTTTGGCATATAGAATACTTCATGGGTAGCTTGCCATGCTTTGCCGTGTGGGCAAGATACTCTCAGTAGCTTGCCGGGTTCTCTGAGAGGGGCGAAGGACTCGAACCTGAGCTGATCGGGTCAACCGCATGCAAGGCAAAAGCCCTACCCACTGTGCTATCGCTCCATGATTAATCCAGTCTGAGCACTGTAGTCTGAGTCTGTAGCAAGATGTCCCCAAGAGAGCCACCCTGCAAGCTTACTGTGTCCATACAAAATAACTAATATTAAGAATTAGAATTAAGATGTTAATTAAGATGTTAATGAAGTTATTGGACTAAGGAGAAGAGGAACATAAGGTGTTATTTCCACCCCTGAGCATGATGGGGCAATCAGGAAGGGCTTTCTTATGTT